CTTGTTGGGCGCGGCGTGGAGTCATAATACAATTCCAGAAATCTTTGATGCGATTCACCACAGTGCGATGTGGTTGGTGTTGGTTCAGCACAAACAAGAACCATGAGCGTTTTCGAACAGCGTTATCGCAGACAATCAGCGTTTTAAACATCATTACAAAATTGGCGAGTAGAGATGGGATTTGCTAGAAAAAATTTGACTCAATTAGTGTGTAACCCAAACAATGAGCCATTGAACGGATCAAGGATTACCAGCTGTTGCGTGTATGTGATACTACAAATAACTGCAGTGTGACCTCACTCACAGTTAGTTGTCGACGCTCCGATCTAACAATGGCCTTCGTATGGGTGCTACCGACATTAATACGTCATACAGAACGATGCCAATCACCTGTGACCATACAATCTCAAAAAAACGTTACTTTTAAACCAACAAAATTTATAAACTCTGTCGAAACTGTGCGTGTTAGCACATAAAACGTGACAACAGAAATTTATTGTCGATCTAAAAGTCATTTTACCGGACAACTGCTAGCATGAACAAGCCGTTTCTGTGATTTAGTTTCTGTTTAACATATTAAAGCCACCAAAATCAGTAAGAATTATTAGGAGTAAATGAGACAAACTGGTAAGGCGCTTCACGACCACTTCTGTGATAAAAAGCAAACAATAATGTCTCACCCAAAAGCGAAGACCCACAACACGATCAACTGCTCCCAAACCGGCAATACCCTGTCCGCGGTACTGAGTGAGCGTAAGTCGAAACGAAGTGTCCAATGAACGATCTCCCTAATGAGACACCAAGCAGCTTGATCTTCGGCATAGGTAATGGAAAAGGCTACGAAAATGATGTGCGGCAAATGCCACTTGATAAGCCGCGGCACCAGGTGAACATTGCCAGCAATTGTGATGAGGAGGGCACAAGTATCACTCCTGTAGTCACGCCAGCCATCGGCCCTTCGTGAGAGCGCAGGAAGAGCAGTATGAAACACCACCTTCAAGATGCTGCGACTACCATCACGGATGCACTGTGTCTTCCCCGCCTGCACAAGTAGGCTGCAAAGACGAACAAGAGAAGTGAAACAGGCTCTGAGTGGAAGCGTCTTGTGTCCACCTACAATGCACAATCGAGTGTCGTACGCAGGATCGGCGTTTGCAGGAAAATAAGGCACAACGTACCTTTCTCTTGACGGCGTGGTTGCCGGTCATGACTTAGCAAGTGGTGGAGAGAGAGAAGGGAGGCTGAAAGTGTTAATGACGTTGTTCGATCAACGAAATCCAATGCTCCCTCGACTGAACCAGCCAGCTGAGTGATCAAGTCGACTGCCTTTTTGAATTGAGATAATGCGAGGTACGAATCACTATGTTTGGTGGAAGCGTTCAAGCCAAATATCCGCAGGTGAGGCAGAATCAGGTTGGAAAATGCCGTCTCATTATTCAGAAATTCCAACCGGAACGATCTAGATAACGGTGAAGGTAGACGCCGGGCTTACGTGTCATAGAACAAATTCAAGGCGGTTTTCTGGGCGAATGGACGGTGTAGTGGGCCCCCAATTTCAGCTAAACGCGATAGAATTTTGACTAAAACAGTTGTTTGCACTGGGCGACTGGGCAGGCAACGAGTAATCTCGAATACATGGACGAGAAATCTTGAGAATAAATCAAGAATATCAGGTTCACTCCAAATTGCATCTTTGAGTGCAACAGAGGAGACCTTGTGAACCACGTCGAAGCATGGGGCCGCAACATTGTCCCAATTAGCTCTACAGATGTTAGGAACAGGTATTTTGTTTAAACTTACTTGTGAGCATACTCGGTAAGGATGCGAAAAAATTCTTTTAGAGCAAATCCTTTAAGGTAGCATAATATAACTTCAAGGGAATTTAAGTGCCAGCATTCTAAACTCTGCAGAATTTCATTTGAAGCTAAGCATTTTAAGCTCTCCGGTGGCATCAAGTGAGCTGGTGTTTTCCTGTAAAGTTACCGGAATTAAAATAGAAAAATAACGCCAAACGGAAGTTTGGTTCAAAAATATCTGAAACCATGAGTAGGTAGAAAACTGTCTTTATATGAAACAAATGAAAATACACAATCCATAAGGTAGTCCAACAAAAAAAATGCAAACTAAGTTACCATGTTTGAATAACGCTTCAAGTACGGGAGTAAAATAATTGGAGTATTCAAGTTGAAGCAAAGAGACAATTAACATGAACAAGTGTACTAGTCAGTAAAAAATTCCAAGGACTGTGTGGTTCAGTGAGTAATGTTCTAAATACTTGGAAAAAAACTATGAACTGAATTTGTTAAACAATGCGTAAAAATCAGAATACAACTCATCAGCCGATTTCCAGTGTGTTGACGAATTAAAGCGCAGACATATTGGACCACGCTGGCCTCTGTTAATGCTCTGTCTCTGTGTTCCAATGACATGCAAGGAAGATAGGTAGCCAACCAGAATGGAGAACTGTAAATAACGAGCTGTGAGACCTTTTTGGTAAACTCAGATCGACGGTGCCTGACGTGGGTTCTTGCTTGTGATTGGTCAGTAAAGCCTTGTCTATTGTACCAGTCTTCTCCATATTAGGGTTCGGTATTCTACAGCATGTGCGCTGCCGCCTTAAGGCGCAGACATGTTTGATGGCGCCAAGCTCAGTCAGTCGTCTGTCCGCGGGAGTTCGAATGGCATAGGTTAAAGATCAGTGTCCAATCGGAGATAAGAATAAATGAGGTCTCTAAACTATACTGGTGCAGCCAGTATAACCCTAAAGTCGATTTCGACACTAATTATTTGATAAATTTTGCTTCGTTGTCTCCATTTTCTTTATAGTATGGCTCAGGTGTAGTACTGTAAAAACGTTCAACTAGCTGGGTGGACTGCGGTGGACAGCTCGCAATGTACGGTTCTGGCTTCTGATTGGTTAATAAAGCTTGTTCTGTTGTACCGGTCGTTTACCTATTAGGGCTCGGGTATTCCACACTGGTGGCAGCGGATGCGTTCGAATAACGCAAATTGAACCCCAGCCCTTTCCATACTATAGACAACAATAGACCTTATATGCCGGTTGCAGTTTTCATGGTGGTCCACCCGATTTTCTGAATAAAGGAATCATAGACATTTCACGGGGTTAGAATTACTGCATTTGAAGAGGCAGTGGTAAGTCAGCGAAAACGATAAATACATTAAAAGCCACTTGGACGGCAAATCAAGAAGGGTCGTGCGATGGATAAGGCGGTTTCCGATCAAGTCCACCAGAGTATTTACCCTCGACGGTGCAAGGAACGAAGCCAGAAGCTAAGGACAGCTTCTCTCCTAAGGGGGAGACAGTGTAGTGGACTCAGATGGATAACTCTTGATGCATGTGTTGAGGGCCCCGGTATTTTGTCTAGAAACACGCCGGGGCCATTGCGAGAGTCTAGGCCGAATACGTTACCAAGTGTCACAGCGAAAAAAAAGAAGACCGGAGTGGAAAAGAGACAACTGTTTACTACACAGATCAATCAAGTTGTGACGTGTACAATTACGGTTGAGTGGACCTGTACAAAAATAAACACAGGTGTCTGTGAGGTCACATGACAAAAACGAGTGTTGGTTTGACACGCAGAGTGGTTAATGAACCAGTGGCCTTACTTGGCTGACGGGCAGGTAGTGAAAAGGGGGCACATGTGCTGGAGGCTGCGAGAACTGGGTTATTGGACATGAATCAACACGAATCCCTACACACGGATCTGGTTTGTGATTGGTTAATGAAGTTTGTTCTTCCGTATCAGTCTTTTTCACTCTATGGCTAGGGTATTCTAAACTGCCGCTGATTGAATGGGCCTTCGATGCACTGTCAGGTCAGCGTTCAATCTCAGTGGGAAGGTTTTTTGACAGTCTTGTTAATCGCACAAGAAAAATTCATACGTATCCGAGATGATAAATTAATGTCCGAAACACGCATGTTTTTGCTTACAACCTTAACAGGACTAGCAACTGCGAAATACTAAGTACCTGTTCGTCCTAAATTTTTGTGTCGACATTAACGATTCACCCGGCAAAACTGGCTTGGATTTGTTGACAGTAAAGAGTAATTGTTGATTTCATCTATCCGCTTTGCGTTGATTGCCTTTATGCCCCATAATTAGTCGTGGTCTATGCTTTAACATGGATTTATGCCTGTGATTACATACAGAGAATCATGTTACTTCTGTAGGAAGTCCTTACTTTAATGGCGTTTTGTTTTGCTAGTTATATTGATTATCACTTCCAGTACGTCAAGCTGAGCGATGTGGCACGGCCATTTTTAGTCTTTACAGGGTACTTGGTGCCCCTTTGATGTGATGCTTCCAAGGTGAGAAAGCAAAGACAGGCTCAGCACCATACGTCGAGTCCACATTCTCAGAGGTCCGTAGGTGCAAACGTGTTTGTGTGCAATGTGGAGATATCCACGCCGATGAAACCAATGGTAACCCAGAATAGCACTCTCGAAACAGCATCTAATGCTTTGATATGTGCATAAGGGTCCATGGATCGCACTTCAGTTTGACGGCAATTGCTAATTTTTCAAATGATGGAAGACCTGTCACTTGTACAATTACCTTTGGTTACGAAGTAGAATCTGACGTAACAATGTCTATCGGCAAATAACCAGCTGATCAATGACCTAATCAGGATACGTACGACCTCAAAAACATTAGTACCCTGGAAAATCTTGAACCTACACAGCAGTCACTCTCCATGGCTGACTAACACTGTACGATGCTCACACAAAATAGGTAACACGTCCAGCAAACCAATACGCATGAACTATTGGATCAAGACTAGCGCTACTGGAACTTCAGTGCGGAGTAAATCGATTTACACCTCGTCTTCACATTCAACTAGTTCAGATCACTAATAAATCCAATCTAATAAAATAACTACTTAGATGATTAGGATAGAGTATTTATGAGAAAAAAGTATACATCGATGTTATGTATGTATAGAGGATAATAGTTTAGAGGAGATGTAGTCGGTGTCATTCACTCCAATTTCAAAAGGAGTGTTTTGATTTCACCAGGTTGGATTTTGAGGAGGGTGCCATTCAAACTCGCCTCGAATCTCCGTTTACCTGTTGGCCAAACCAGACTGTTTGCTCTAGCGGCTGAAGCCAACTGATTGGCTGTCAAGGAGAGTTCGGTTGCCTCGACAACGCGGCCCACCGTAAAGGCGTCCTTGAGGTCGAATTCGATTGGTCCATCTCCGGGGATAGCGATGTGTTGGAGGCGCACCAGAAATTGCTTCCTTGATGGCACACTACCCTCTAGGGGCCATTGCTGGGCAGTTAGCAAGTGCAGACCGTGTGGAAGGGCCTTGTGTAAAAGTGATACTTTCTTGTTCGCGTCAAAGGTCTCATTCGCGCGGTTACGAAAGAGGAAGGTTGGCGGCCTTGAAACCTCCTGTGCCATTCGAGGATCCAGTCTCTCAACATTCGGCAGTGTATCTAGCAGGAGTCTGTGCACCCCCTTCACTGCAAGTCCTGAAAGGTGATTGGTTGGCAAGAAAATAGAGTTAAAATGCACGTTGGGTTTTAAATCAAACAAAGTTAAATTCTAAACAATACACAGTTGACTTCCTCTAGAGCAAGAGTGCAAAAATAGTGATAATAGAGGACTACCACTGAACATTCGGGAAAAATATGGGCATTCGCCTTCCATCCAATGAGAGACGAATATGGCTAAGAAAACGATTGGCTGTTTTAAAATCGTAGATGTAGGTATTGCAAAATTATCCGAGAAGTGTTTCGTCTTAAACTATTATTGGAAATCTACACTTTATTCCTGGGAATTTAATAAATGCCCAAAGAAGCCGGATTTAAACGCAAGCAAGTGAATTCTTCAAATTTTGAATAGAAAAATTGTTTGGATTGAAGCCAAGTTCCACGAATTCTACAATCAAGCAGGCGTGACTGTATTGAGGGCTCCGGAATGTTGTCTTGAGCCACGTCGGGGCCACTGCGTCAATCTAGACCGACTACGCTACCCCGGGTACCCGCTAAGATGAAAGAGACCGGAGAGGACGAGGCACAACCACTTCCTAGACTGGTACAGTTGAGTGAACTAGTAAAAAAATGCAGACAGCTGAATGGTCACGTGAGTAGAGTGGGTGGTGGTGGTGGTGGTACATACGGAGGGGTGAATGAGTTGGCGGTCCCGGTGACTGACGGGCACGCCGTGAAAAGGGGGACGTGTGTGTGAGGCTGCGACGACCCGCTTTTTGGACTGCTTCCTAGGCTTTATTATGATTCTGTTTGATCTTTAACTATGACAAGCAAATCATCTGGTAAGCTTAATAAATCATTTAGTTCCTTTCACTAGCATCATTAATATCTTAGCGCTTCAAATATGACAATTAATCACTGTTAATTTCAACAAATTAGCACGAATCGTTTCGCACGCTGTGATTGGTTAGTTTCTGAAATAGGCTCAGATTTGTTGTGGCAAAAAATGAGGGCTACTTGAAGCAAATACATGCTAAATTTCCACCAAAAGTGAGGCAGTCAATCAATTCCAACCAGAAAATGGATTTCCAGAAGAGTGTGTGATTTGTCTGCAACTATTCTTGTAGTTATCCCATTGGCTAAAACCAATTTGCTGTGTACCGATCAAACGCGAAAATTCCAAGTGATTACCAAACGCAGACATCACGTCGAGATTCAACCGGGAGAAGGTATTCGTAAATAGCGGCAGGTTGGGCGCATTTGATTGGTTAAAGAGAGGAATTACCTTGACCAAAGACACGCTCCGTTAGGGGCTCCCCAACTCCCAGACCGTCGTCAGACACGGTGGCTCTGTGCAGCATTAATTCCACCTCGCCTTCGGCAAGACTGGATCCGCCCTCAGACCTATCAGTGTAGACGGCGAACGCGTACTCCGTGCCCTTCAACATGATGCGATTCACGACGGGATAGTAGCTGGCTTCGATGGGGTGTACCTCTGACACAGGAAGATAGAATTTGCGGCTCCATCGGTGATTGGGCAGAGAGGCGTACACATCGGTGACTCGATCAGCTGGCCGCTTAACTCGTTCACGACGAATCAGACTGCTGCCCATGGAGTCGGTGAAGAATTCGCCTAAAAAAACCACACGCGAAACCGCCTCCTCACTTTATCAACTCGGTTTTAGTAGGTTATAGTGTGTGTGGACTTTACTGACCTTCGGTTGACGGTCGAATCCCACTTCCAGACACGTAGTACCGCAGAATGACCTCGGTGACACGAAGTCCAATGTTCGGCAGCGGTCCGACAATCCACTCCACCTCCATTTGATCATCGTTGTACAGGCGAGCAGTGAGATGCGCCCACGGCGTGAACGAGGTACGACACTCGGTAACCAACTCACCACTGACCAACTAAAACAAACAACGGCCTTATGAGTATCCCTACCACATCGATTTTCAAGGTCAGAGAGGTGGAGTACCTCGGAGGTTGCGTTGCCAATGGCTACGGCATCATCCAGTGCCCGAAACACGTAGGCTCCTGAGGTTGGTTGATAGAATGACGCGGAATCGTAGCTCAGCAGTCGCATCGTGATGGTGTGGCCCTCCTGGGTGGTAAACACTGGAAGGTTGTCCGGACCAATGGCAAGAGAGATGCGCTGCTTCCTTCGTTGTGGTTGGTATCCGTACCTACCATGGTAGAAACATTACCCCCCCCCCATCGATCTTTTGTCATATAACTCGCAATTTAACAAAAGAGCAATGGTCAAATCAGGTTCGTTCATTCAAGCCCGAGTCTGGCGTGAGATCGACTATGAGTAACACATTTAAGGAACATGGAGGTGACACATCATTTCCAAGATCAGTGAAATTTCCTTTATTGTAGCCCTGATAGGTAAATACATTTTGCCTTTTTTGCTGCTGGCAACTGTCCTCAATTTTTATCCCCGGCCACCCCTAGGTTATGTCCCGTTACTGATTTGGATGGTTTTACCATGCTAAAATGTGCGTACATATAAAACAGAAGGCAAGAAATTTCTGTTGCCACGTTTTACGTGCAAAACGCATCTCCTTTAGAGTCGCAAATAACATGAAGTGCAAGCACGCAGTTTCGACAGAGTTTGTAACTTTTATTGGCTTAAAAAGTAACGTTTTTGAGATTGATTGGCGTCGTTCTGAATGACATATTAAGGTCGGTAACGCCCAAACAAATGCCATTGTTAGATCGGATCGCCGTCAAACAACAATGAGTGAGGTCGCAGTGATGTTAATGGTTGTACCACACACACGCACGCAAACGCAGCGGCTGAAAATCTTGTTTTAAATATTTTGGATTCTTTTGAACAGAATGCGAGGAAGATATGCAGCCAACCAGCGACAGACACGTGACTCGGATGGGTTCTGGCTTGTGATTGGTCAATAAGACCTTATCCGTTGTACCAGTCTTCTTAATACTAGGATTTGGGTATTCTACAAATGATTATTTAACCACATGGCGCACACACGTGCTTGATTAGACTACCCCAAGTTTGCATTTGCAATTAGGTAATTAGGTTTGAATTCCAATGACTAATCCAGGAACAAAATCACCTAAATTGCCACAAAAAAAAGCCGCAAACTGCTTCTAAGTGTGACACCACGTCTAATCGATAATAGAAAACACCGACTCACCCATATCCATCAGTGTTCTCCCCTTTCAGCGCAAAAAAGGTGTATCCCGCTGGCGTGAGACCCACATTCGGCTTGAACACGACCTCTGAATGTCCTCTGGCATGAAGGAAGTTTCTTTCAGGCAACTGCGCAACACCTGGAGCCAACGACACGATCTGGAACGGGATGGTCTCGCCACTCAGGAAGTCCGTCAGCGTGTAGGCGAATTGGGCGTCGGCTTGTTCCTTCGTAGCGTGCAGTGGAAGCCGCATCCACGGCTGGAAGTCGTCCCACGCTAGGGGGGTGTAGACCGCGACGATCGCGTCGGGAAGGTCGTCTTTCCTGGTGGCAGGACTGCACACCGAGACGTTCAGAGCGTCGCAAGTCTGGAATGTCGCTGTTCGATCAAATAGGGTGTCAGCAACTGACGCGACAAGATTTTGGCAACCACGCATAGCGCTGAATAGCCGCAGTCGGTAGTCGTCGGAGACGTGTTGTTTTTCAGTACCAGTTATCGCGTCGTGGTGTTGCATAACTCCCATCATCCGTCGAAGGTGGTCTACGACATCATCTGGGTTGATTACCTTCACCGGTTGATCGTACGCCAACAACGGACCGTGGCTGTAGCGGTGGCCGATATTTGGTTTTAGCAAGTGAGCCTTTTAAGATAGAAAAATGCGTGTGTGTGTGGAATAGCCTAGTCGGAAGCTACAAGTCCACTGTTTTATCACCAAATTGCCCCACCTCAATCCACCCACACCTTCCGTTTGTGTGATTGGCTGAGATTGTGAGATTTATGCTTTGTTTAATGGGGCAACGCGCCCTGTTTGCTTGTCAACAATCCTGATAAGAGCCATAATGCAACTATCAACACTGTAAAGAACATAAAATACGCTAGAACTACGAAAGGCATACCTAAAATTTTACAAATATTCACACATGAATTGGGCAAATAAATCGATAACCGGTAGCCAGTAAAATCGATACTGCCAGCAATGAATTACCTTGCAGGAGGGGATTTTCGATTGTTCTTAATCATCGTCAAAAAAAAACTTTTATTTTACATAATCCTCAGCAAATTTATAAGACATATATCGATGACATATACCTCAGTGGGGTTACACAAGACACCCAGTTTAAGGAAGGACGTTTGCTGTCAAAATTAATCACTTCCAATTATGATGTGCAATTTGGGAAATATCACTTCACACCATCTGCTAAATTCGCATACTGCTAATGCCGGGGTCTGTGTAATTAATGTGAGATTATTTTGTAGAAGTCTTATGCTGAACCTGTTTCAACTATTAACAGAGCAGACAAAAACGTTAACTTTGGTGATTTCAGCCCTACAGAGAAAAACAACACGTGTTCCAAATTTTGGTACATTTTAAATACTTTAAACCATCGCAGGAAAAGTCAAATTGCTAGTTGACAGTTTCTTTGTGCGATTCGAACAACTTCCTAATTGAAAACACCAGCATTTAAAGAAATTTAAAGAAAGATCCCTGTCAGTCAACCTGATTCGGAAACTTTTAAGATAATTACAAAATCTTTGCAAAAATCTGGCTAAACGTTGGCAGTCACGAAAACTAGAGATTAAATGAATGAAATCTTAGTGAGCAAAATGACATTTCTTGATCTTTTTATTCCACCTAAAAACCATCGACTGTCATCACAAGAACAAAGCTTTTGTGATAATCGTACAATTTTTTTTTCCTGATGTTCACTGGATCCAATTCAGACACCAAACAAGAAATTACTTCATTTAAACCGCTCTTCACTGACCAATCATCGATCGCCATTCAAAGTTAGTTAAGAGCCAAAGTTAGAAAATCGAAATTTGGAAGAGGATTTGCAGTGATCCCCTAAAGATCTTGTGGTCGGCGCTGGAGGAAAATCGATAAGAAACTGCTTTCGCTTCATGCATAGCCAGCTTTTAAATCGGATCTAAACGCAAATTTTATGGGGTTCTATGTCATGTGCTGCATTAAAAAAAGTATAGCCACTGATTTAATGCTGTAAATTAAAATTTAACATTAATAATAAAAACGTGGCTACAAGCTAATCCTATCAAGCCCAATAAAACTCTGTTAAACGTAGAAATGAATTTTTTACGTTTAAAGATTTCTTACACTGAAATCCACGCTTAGACTGCATTTTATCGATTTTCCTTCATCGATTTTTGTTTCGTCATCCGCGCGCCATTTAAAACCAATTTTTGCAGGACACGATTGATTTTATCCTAAATTGGTGGTCACGCAGCTTTAGCAATTAATTCAGATATTTACACAAACTTAATCTTGTGGGCTGAACCGGCAACTCGCGTAACCAATGGGAGGGTAAGAGCAACATTTAAAATCGATGCTTACTTGTTCACAGGCAGAGAGGAGACCCGATGCCTGACGCACCATGTACTTCTGTGCTGGTCGGCTGGTGAAGTATCCAGTCCAGTAGGTGTTGGAGGCGCTGGCGTAGGGGAAGAAGTCGCCTTGACGATCGGGAATCGTGCCCCGTTTGTTGAAGGCATCATTCACCGCCTTGGTGTAGCACGTTGGACTGGAGTATAGCAAACGAACGGGCATGTCCGTCGACCTTAGCTTCTGCTCGCGCCTTTGTTGGGCATTCACGTGCTCAATTAGCCTGTCCAGATTGACGAAGTTTTCATTGGCATTTTCAAACGTGAAGTCACAACCCATCGGCACGAAGATGTGGTTGGTGGCGTAGCTTCTGGCGACAGATCGAGCGTATTCGAGGAACTGGGCGACACGCGAAGGCACATTGTAGTTGGTGGCGAGTGGATCCACTACCATGGGGGGATCGTTGCATTTGGAATCGAAACAGAAGCCCGGCGGTGAACAGTAGCTCTGGTAGAGCATGTGAGTGAAGAGGCCGGTTGTGTTGTCGCTAGGGTCAGCCCGCCACAGCACCTCCATCTCCCGGTTCTTGAGTCGAGTGCGCTTCTCACGGAAGTCCATTCTCTGGAAAAAGACCCCATCGAAGCCGGCGTCGAGGAAGACACGAGCCTGCTCCCTCGCGTGGCCGAATGGATCGATCTGCCAGGCCACGCGTGGTCTGCCGCACTCACCGAAGGTGGCGTTGAGAAACGCCAGACCTCTGGTCAATTGGTCGATGGAGTCACCGTAGTGCACCACTGCTTCGTCGTTCATAGTCCAACCACCTAGCGCGAATTCCAGCTGACCGTTTCGAACGAGTTGGTGAACCAGCTCTCGCATCGCCGAATTCTGCATTCGCCACCAACGCTCAAAGAAGGCCATCTCAACGTAGGTGAATTTCCTTTCGGGGTTAATTGACAGAGCCTGCATCACAGAATCCAGAATATACTGTACTCCGGCCGTTTGGTACCAGGTTGCGTCACCGAAGTAGTACTGATCAATATTTTTTAACCAACCAACATCGTCGTGAGTGTGTGGTATGATGTGCACATTGATGTAGTCGTCTTTTGTTGACGGACAGAGGCTGTAGCCGCATTCCTCGGCAACAGTAGAATGCAGAAGAAAAATAGCATAAAAAACAACGATGGACCACATATCCAGGGTGAAGATTAATGCGTGAGTCAATTTATAGCCTCGACGCTAGACGCCACACAGGTGGGCATCCAAGCAGCCAATCAAATGCCGGTTTACTGACCGCGCTTTTTGAATGCTGCCAAACTAAGTGACCATGCAAATAAGTGCCGCCTTTTCGTCAAACCTCGACTAATTTGTGTCATTAGTAGACCACTGAAGGTTGTTTCAAGTCCTTGTAACCTCCAAATATTAAATTTGATGGCCAACTTCAAGGCTTTTAATTGCAAATTGGCCACTAAATGGGACTTGCCAGGCCATGATAGAATCAAAAGGCGGAAACTTTCATTGGCTACACAATTTCAGCTAGTTGGCGGCTGGTGGTGTTTTCGAAGACAAATCAGTTCCTCGCGTAAATACCGCGAAGTTCCAATACTTTGATTACCTCAGTGCCAACTACAACGCACTTTTGTGACCACGCCCTACCTCTCGTGCAAGTGGACGCAGTTGGAAGCTGAGACGGTGTTAGTCTAACACCACAACGTCTTGTCAGTGCAATTCATTTAATGGGAATCTGGATCCGTCGAAACCATTGATTGCCTCGGTGTTTAAAATAGCTTCCCACCTCCATCTAGTGACAAATTTGGGGTGTTAGCGGTGATATTTTAAGCGACCTGCGCCGCCGGGTCAAGTGTAGCAGATTCTACACCCAGCTTCAAGGTCAAATTCTCAATTATCATGTTTAGTCTTGCCTGCCCGTCAATGAGAGTGAACTTAGGGGTTAGCAGAAGTCGATAATTTCAATTGGATGCAAATTAGCGCAAATTTTAACGGTGAAACGTTTCTTAATATTGTTACTTGAAGAGTTCATGGGCGGTAATCCGTTGTCATTGGAAACTGCCATAAAATTGTCTCAATGGGAAGGAAAGTGGATTGCGTAGCCATGGCGCTTTGCGTGTGGATATCTAAATAAAATTTATTTGAATCCAGCTTCCCTCGTTCGATATACGTGCTTGAAAGAGTCCACCACCATCACCACCACTGTTAAGGGAGAAGTCACCGATTCGTTTACAAAAATAGACATTAAAAGCCAAAAAACTGACGTTCGTTACTTCCAAAACAGATCACGAAACCGGGATTGTGTTAATTTCAACAATGAAAGCGATGAAAAAGAGTCAAAAAACGGGGAATGGTCTACTCCTTTTGCTCATCCTTCTCCTCATCACTATTCGAATCAAAATCTATATTTGTCAAGTCCTGTTCTCTGCTTGACTCGCTGTCCAACTTTAATGTAGCCTCACCGACGTCTTCTTCTTCAACGTCGTCGTCGTCGTCGTCTGAAAGAACCTCTACCGCGGAAAGCAGGGACCGCTTCGAACTGGAGCCTTCTGCTTGCGATAGGTCGTCCTTATCGTGACCTTCAGAGATCGCATTCGTCGCCTTGGCAACCAAAGTCGGTTCAACTTTGCGCGAAGCGGCACTGATTGTTTCTGTTGGCGTTAGAGTTGTTTCTTCGTCTAAACACAATAGATTGTTTAAATTACCGCATAGTTTGCGCGCAAAACTCAAACCTTAAATTCGGAAGCTTCTTCTACTCACAAAAGCAGATCAGACGTTCCATGAGCAATCAATGCACCGAAATTGCCTATCACACTTTTTTTACGAAAAAAAAAAACAACCGATTGGTTGAAATTGCGTTTCCGTCGTGGACATGTGCACGTAAATATTTACTGACTTGTGTCACGAGGCACCGCATTACGACGAGGTTATAAACAATGCGAGGACGCCATGTCGCACGGTACAATCACAAAAAACGGTGCAACTTATCACTCTCGACTAAACGACCACTTTTACCATCAACAAGAACAACAACCACAACCCTGCTATTCTAAAGAAGCTATCATTAACATCATGCTGAGTTCCCTAGCCAATCAAAACCTTGCTTTTGACAGCCACAAATTCTAAAGATAAATTCCCGCTAAAAATGACGTTTAGCAAATATTTTATATAAAATTCTTGGTGGGATTGTGTAGCATATGACGGCGCTCCCTCAGGCGCAAAGCTAATTGGATGTGATTTCGAACTTGTGAGTTGGCTAGAAAAGGCCCGGCATCTAGTTTGTCAGAGCTTGTCACAATCGTCACCACCTTCGTGAGAACAAACAGGAATGAACCAGTCAGAATCCTGTACTCAAGGTCGCCCCGAGGTCATGCAAAACGTCGACGAAATGGTAGTGAAGGCGTGATCAGAAATACGGTAAAATGTGATGATTCACGGCTGCCAACACAAACCCCGCCAACTCAGCCGGTTAGACGGTGCTCATGCCGACACCCCCACCCTAATCACCCAGCTTCCCCCTTCCTTGTCCGTTTACTAGTTCACCTGAATCTGATTGGTTAACAAACGGCCTTCAGTCACGTCCCATCTGTGCACGCATGAGACTCACGCACTAGTAAACACGACTCTGTCCACGACAATGACACAAGCGCACTACATAACATCGCGTGACGATTCAACCCAAAATCAGTGAAGCAAAATCGCAGGAAGGCGGGTATACCGTCAGAGGAGGCGCAGTTATCGCGTTGGCGCATCCGCATGGACGATTTGGCGAGAATCTCTTGGCGTTTGGTCTTGGACACGACGACAACCTCGCCCAGAGACATCTGGTCCGGGGTCGAGATTTGATTGGTGGTTGCTAGTGCCTCGGTCTCCAACTTGGTGAGCATTTCGTCCATCCAATCGAAGTGCTCCTCCGCCACATCTACGTCGTCTTCATTCGGCGGCGGCGTCTGCTCGTGCTGGCGTCGTTTTAATGCTGCAGCCGCCTGTTCAATCTGTGAGAAGTTAATCATGCCTGAAGACCATTTTTCGCGCCAAAAATTTATTTTATCACTCCAGCATGATTAGGTGTTTTAGTGGGCTCGAATTACACCGAAGTTGTGCGGTTTATTTGAATTCAGACCCCGGTGTTTAAATTAGTGGCGCGTCCGGTGCCATGGCAACAAGTAAACATGGCGTCAGAGACTGGTGCTCAAAGGCCAAAAAGAGATACTAGGTTCTTATTGACGTAGGACATGGGACACAAATTAGTCAAATTAATCACCAACTCATTGACAATATAATAGCAGGTAAATTACCACTTCCCGACAAATTGTGTGTGCCTAATTAGCCCACAGTCTTTGTCCGCGTCCCATTGGTTGTGCGGACTGGCCCAAGTGTGCACATATGTTTGTGAGCGGCAATAAGGCCCAAAATTAAGATGGTTACTCTTGAGTAGTAAGTTGCCAACAATTAAAGCGGGTTGCTAAAAGGAGGAAATCAATGCCTTAGGGGTCCACACTTTGGGAATAATTTCAATTTTCAGACTAGCGCCACACACTACTTCAGATCGGCCGCGCGCTCACCCTATTGGTTCGATCGCCATGGTTATTCTCGGCGCGAATGATTGGCCAACCACTCAAGTTACCGCGGCCCTTCGACTGCTGCTTACACAACTCACAAAGATTGCGATTTTGAAGTAAAAAAACCATGAATGATTAGTCAAAACCACAGTATTCTTATGGATGACCTTGAGAGTACCACTATAGTAATAAAAACACCGCGCAACTTCCAGTCGTTAAGGGGTACCTTCTGCTGTTGATTCCACGGTAGTTTGGAGTTCTGCCGAGACGCATTCAGCGCAATGAGATGAAGAAGCGGATCGCGCCACGGAGCAACCCAAGCACCAGGTCGACGACTGATCTCCTCCACGGTGAACTCCCCCAAGCTGTGAGTTTGCGAGGAACTCGTTGTCGAAGTAGTTCCAGGCTGGCAGGAGATTTGTGAAAATAAACAAAACATTTAAACAAGAGGCTGGCGAATTCAACGATTAGCCTTCAGAGATTTCAGCATGCCAGAAATTAGCACACAACTACCAACACACCAAAATGCATTCATCGTCTTGAAATGAGCCCGAACAAGGCAAGGAAAAACTGGTAACTAATAACGTTGTTAATTGCTAAAAGCAAGAAGGAATAAAGCTGTGGGTGCAAGTGTGTGTGTGTGTATGTAGATTCATCGCATGAGAGAAAATGTTAGATTTTTTTCCTACACAGCTCTACTGACAGGTAACTAAGAAGAAATGTCAAAAAAAAAGCACAGCTGCACACGATTCCCTGCTGGGAAAAAATTTGGAGAAGAAGCTAGATTTTTAAATGTCGAATGCATTATTACGCAGATGGTATTTTGGTGAATTAAAAGTTGCTGCAAGACGAATTTTGTAGTGGTGCTAAAAAACGTGGTAAAAAGCACCATCTACAGGGCTTTGCGGTTAGTCGATTAAATTGTAGACAAAGTGTTGCCGATGATTTCGAAGTCATCGGGAGCCAATCAGAAGCGAAAAAAATTGACCAATGAAAAGATGAGTTGCACACATTCAAACAAAAACAATACAGTGTCTAACGAAAATATTAAAAGATGATTGATCTATATTGGAGGGGGTAAAATATAATGGTTTTATTGGTCACATCAACATTTTTTACATCTTTTCGAGTGGTTCAGATATCCACAAAATCGGACCAATGTTCAATAATTTTGGAAGATTTTTTTCCTATTGGACGACTCCTTTACGGTTCAGTGGAGATAAATGGCCAATGACGCTTAGTTTGACGGTTCTAGCCTAACTTACACTTTCACACACCGATGGCATTTGGCCCAGCCTTCTGGCCAATTTCGACGCCTCCTTGGCATCAAGAGGCAGTCTACTTTTTTCACCCATTGACAGATCTTGTTCCAACCAGACACCTTCGCTGAACGAATGAGGCGCCGTTAAACTCCACGCCTCGTCAGCATCACTCGTCGTCTCCACAGACGACGTGAGGTTTGGGGTTACGGCGGTGGCGGTGGCGACGTCAGCTGACGGGGAAGGAGACGATGACCTTGGAGAAGGACAAATAGTGAATGTCACAGACTCTTAATATAAACAAGTGCTTCAAGAAACGCTAACAGAATGAAACCGGGTTTAAAATAATCACCGAAATCGACGAACGAGCAATCAAAACGAAATTTAAAAAAAAGTGTACACAAGAGCAGGTCGACAGGGTGACAGTCCCACTGATGAAGTGCATCTATGGTAGAAACAAGAAAAAAAGTGGAATTTACAACTTGGAGTTTGTAAAAGTGCACTCATATCTATCGATTTTCTGACTGCTGTTCACCGATCGATCGATCGATTCACCCAGAGTGGGTTCCAGCGCGCGGTAACACAAAATCTCCCCTTGGACTACATTTAAACAAACACAATTTTTAGTAAATCTTCCATTTAAAATATTTTTTTCTGTGATTTGCAAAAAAAGGAGTTTTTGGTGGGTAATTTGACTCATTTGAACAAAGCGAAGCGGCAATTTAAAAGCTGTGCGTGCACCGCAATGTTTATGCAAAGTGACAACGATGGGCGGAGCTTCATGCGAATTCGTTTTCCGTAGTAAATGGGTGGTCTCTGGTGGCGGCAGACGGCGCTATTATGATCGGTTTTTGTTTCGCCTGATTAAGTCAAAAAAACACCTACATAACCGCCTATTTAGCGCCAAAAACGCCCCACCACACCTTGTGCCATGAAAAACCAGCGGTAAATTTGAACTGGAACTAAACAACAGACCGGTTATTTGACAGCATCTGCGGTCCTGATTTAAGTTCCATCTGGATTGAGGAGGTTTCACTGAAACATCGAGTAAATTTAAGTTACCCGGCGGCACATCGATGCAAACGAACAAACAAACAAGAACGCCAGAACTGACAAGGTGTCTGAGTCAACTTCCAAATGATCCGAAAGTTCACCTTCCGTCTCAGGAACACCGCTAGAAATTTTGGAATCACATGTCAATGCCCATTGGTGGGTAGGGAGGGAGGATTGAAAGGGAACACCACGTACCACTCCTGCCGGTCAATCAAATTAGGGGAGTTACTTCTGAAAGAATTGAACACAATTGGAGGATAACACGACGCCTAACTAATTGGGCGGGTCGCGAGGTAGCACTGTACAGACCTGTGACATTTCGTTGACACAGTAAATCCACTTGCTGATACGCCTCTGTAGCAAAATTGACACAATCGGTGTTAGGAGGAGAAGGTATTTGACAAAGAGGGGTTATAGGTTAGAAATGCGAGCTAGAACGAACCGTTCACAGGACCACGGGTAGGGCACTTTCATTGGTGAATTTGAACTGTAATCGTCAAAAAACAGGCAATTACCGGCCACAGATAACAAAAGATACCAGTCACTTCTGAAATTGGCGCGAAGTTTGCAACAAAATTTAAACAAACTGTAACTCGAACCAACCCGGATTGCTTGTCCCGCGGTGAAGCACGAATTGGTGAAATAGCCCTGAATTGAAATTAATTGGGGAATTAGATCACATTATAGAGAAATGCTGGCCACAGAGATTGTTCATTAACAGGAACACGGTTTGAACATACATAACATGGAATTGGCCATTTTAAATAAGATTTACAAAAACAAACTGCGATTTCTATGCTTCGATGGGCCACACAGACAGCAATAAGGCATAAAACTCGATCATTCATTAACAAGATGTCTTTTTATGCATAAGTTTCGCACTAAACAACCGATTTAACCAACAGAACCGAAAAAAAAACACATTTTTTTAAACAAGAGGGGAAAGTGAAACCACCGATTTTGACAATCTGGATGGTACAACTCCGTGGCCGAGACTGCCGCGCTGTGAGCAAAATAAAAACGCACAGGAGGACGATTAAATTAAATAAGTAGTTGAAATGCACAATGCTGATTGGCTGATCTAAAGTGACCTGGCGTCACCTGTAGATAACGCCAATGGCGGCAGCATGCAGATAAATTGACAACAATGTTTACTTCTGAATCATCCATGCTCACAATCGCATTTCGGTCACGCGCAATCTAATTGGCTCGCCAAGGTCACCCAAGGCAAATATGATTGGTCATTTTCTTTTAAATAATATAAAAAACTAAACTCACTTTAAGCGGAGTGGCGCTGCAGCTTCTGGTGTAAAGCTGGGAAGAGAGGGACTACGAATCGGCTGCTTTGATTGGACGGAGATGCCGACGGATTCCTTGCTCGGGCTGTGCGGTATTGGCTGAAAGTTCCGAAATTACGAGAAGTGCATTTTAAAGGTACTTGGTTACTTCTAGAATGACCAGCATCAACGCCCTTGCTCGACCTCTAACTGACCAATCAGAAACGTGCTTCCAAGGTCAACCCAGCCATAGGTCGGCTTAAGCTACAGGGATACGTGGACGCGTCTGGAGTGGAAACCACGCTACCGGCAACTCGGATGACATTGACGAAGACACAAACACTGAGACACTGAGTCTAGACACCCACGCGATCGATAATGCCAATCTAGATAAACAAAATTACCTCAGCACTCGCAGCTCTCTCGATTAACACGATGTCTGCGGGTGATGGTGGCAACCTCGACGACTCTTCCAGTGAAGTTGGTGGCGAGGTGCCGACGTTGATACATCGACGCGGTGGAGGCTTGGAAGTTGGAGGCGTCTTCGGTCGCGCCGCTTCAGTCACATGCCCGCGCAAAGCCTCGTTGAGCAGCTCCTTGAGCACATCGGGTGACAATGTTGCGACGGCTAATTTTAAAATAACCACCAATTTTCACGAAGTTGTGCTCATGTACGGTGTTTGCAAAAACACAACTACTGAAATAATATAAGTAGAACGTCAATAGTAGGCCGAAGTACCTTCTGTGGAAGACGGCCTGAGTGAAGCATTCAGAGATGAGAGCTGCTGTAGAATTCGCGCCAACATCCCTTCTTCCAGTTGTCGACGCACCGATTCTGCTGAAACACCTATTCCTGTTGTTGTTATTGGTGGTGGTGGTGGCACGGTTGGAGGTGGAATCTAAAGGGGAAATCGTACAACGCGTACAATTCCCTCTCAGCAAGCAGCAGTAAATCTGTCTACTCATTAATTTTCAGTAGGAACTGACGTCTGTGCGATCCGGCGGAGGCCATGCCGTGTACTGACGCATTCCGAGCGGCAGGAATGTTGGTGGCTTTTTCAAACTGCCCCGAGTAGGAGGCTGCTGTACAGCAACAGCTGACGTAGGTGGTCGCGGACTTCTGGCCTTGGAACGGTCTCCTTTAAACCGGACATATTTCGCGCTAGTTGGTGGATTTGGCGGGGCTGCTAATAAAATGGCAAAGATATATTCTCTCAGCTACGATCTTGCCGTTCTGGGTTCCAAAATTTTCTCTTTTTTGACAATTTACCCGGTGTTGGTGGAGGCAGTACTTCTGGCAAAGACGGCAAAACGACCTTTGTTTGTTGCATCAGTGGTGGAGCACGCTGATTGGTGGAAAAATCGACCAGTTCCGCCAGGCTAGTGCCACGGCTTCGCGCGGGTGCGTCGTTTGTGGCTGGAGGCGGCATAGACGTGGGTCTGCGTTTAGACAAGGACGCTTTGCCCCCCAAGGCTACATTACCTCTAGCGGTTGGTTTGAGTTGAGAATTTTTCGAAGGCGCTGCAGCACGAGCTTGTTTGGGAACTGACAAACGATTGGCGCGTGCATTGGAGCTGCTTGCTGCTAAAATTGGTGACTTATGCTAAAAATATACAAAAAAACGGCGCAATGCAGGCAGACGTGACAAGATGAACAAGAAAAGAACCGCGTTAGAGACAAAATTTACCGAATTCGGTTTAGTCTCGAGGTCCTTCACGGCATCATCAAGTAGGGCCTTTATACGCAGCACGTCGTTGTCTTCGCTAAATAACAGTAAAAACATTTGTCTACTACCAAATTGAAAGTAGCAATTATTTTAGGCAACACGTCAATCCGGTGCGATTGTCGCCGCCGGCAGATCATCAACCACCTACTCATCGCCTAGCTGTCCAAGCGTCTCCAGAATGTCGAAAATATCATTTTGTTGGCGATCGCGCTCAAAATTGGCGACCGCGTGGTCGAAAACCTTCCGGCGTCGTGTTGCATCGGTTAGAACTTGCTGGGCGTCGGTTAGAATCTGCGGTGGTGGCGGCGGCGGCGATGAAGGAAAGCCATGCGTGCCCTCAAGTGTCCGCTTAGTCGACAAAACTGGTGAACCGGAAGGTGGCGCGGCGTTCTCTTTGCTCTGCAAAACAAAAGAAAACAAATAAATTCTTTTTCTGCACCTAGACATCTGATTGGTCCAGAGTACAGAGAATTGCCATTTTGGAAGGAGTAGCAGGCCAGAATACGCCTACTTGAAGCTGATTGGCTGATTAATGTAAATTTAAACAATAAATGACGCGAAAGACAAAGATACGTAGTACGCGGAACTCACCTCAGATGAAGACTTCGGCGCCTCAAACAACCTGGCAATTTCCATTCTATTATCGTGCAACACCGACTGCATGTTCTACAAAAAGACACAAAGTTATAAGACAAAAAAAAACGAATTGAAGGCATCAAGCATCCTTCACTCACGTGCAGTTCTTCATCAAATTTTCGACGTAGGAGACTGATCTCTTCACGGATATCTCGGAGATCAATTCTACAATCAAAATGACAATTATGGAGTCATAATTCTGCAAAAAAATGACCAACCATCGTGTGTGCTGGACAGTTTTATTGATTTCTCTATCAACATATCAGCGAGGAAGCGCGAAATTTAACCAGTCATAAGTCGTCGATATTCGACCAATGATCGTCGGCAATATTTCTGATGCTGTGTTCCCATGAGACAGAAGACCATCATTCCTAGAAGTTTTACCTCTCAAAAACCTAGCCAAACTTTGACTTAACTGTTTATCTCAAGGTCAAATATATATACCGCATGACGATTGGCTTATACCTCTACCCATTCAACATCCAATCATTTTGAGACAATCATTGTGGAGCATGATTCCCTTGTGATTTGGCGATTCCGGTCATTGATGACAGCAAACACCTGAACTGGGTGTCTGTTGCCTTAGAAACGGTTCGAAATACCCACGATCTTTGTAATTGCACAGCCAGGTTGACAGCAGGATTCCTGTTTGATGCGATTGTTATTGATTATCTGATGTTACTGTTAATAATGCATTTCAGGAATTAATTAATTAATTCGCCTGATTTTTAAGGCTCAAAATGATGGATTTTAATATCCCCCTCCCCGATAACTTATGTCATGACGAATAAGCAATGTATTCCATCGATTGGTAATCCCATTGGACAAGCAATGCATTGATTGGTTGTCATTTTTCCGCCTTCTGATTGGCTCGTCTGTTCAGAAAGTACAGAGGAAGCTAGAGGTATAAAAACCATAATGAAGAAAGCACTCACGTTCCGGTAGATGCGCCACCAGCAACTCCACGGCAAGACAATGCTGACGGTTCAATCCCCTCGCTTTCTTCGAGGGCATTTGAATTAAAGTCCTGTAATCTGTGATTCGGTTGTGTGGCAAGTGCTGAAATGTTTCAAAAATTAACCTCAAAGTATCATTGCGCCTAAGCTCAACTCCGATTAGACCAGATATGTAAATCGCTTACCAGCACAAACTGGAACTGTACATACGCCTCGCCGATAGGACTTAAGTGGTGCTTGTTTGGTGGCAGACGAACCGCGCTTCTGAGAATGCTGATTACATTTTTTTGTACTTAAGTGGTCTTCAACATCGTGCTCCTTTGGTGACGATGATGTGGGATCAAAGTGATGCGACTTTTTAATTAACTCAGCCACGTCGGCCTATTAGGTTTGAAAAAAAAACGCATACAAATATATTCCCGATCAACCAATAGAAATTGACAAATAGACGGTACTTTCAAGTGTTTGGTTTATAAAACTAACATACGACGCTTTAACTGACACGAAATAAAAGAATAACAAAGGCACCTGAAACACATAATTGTCTGGCAGTCACGACTTTACGAAAGAGTTCATATAAGGCAACCTACTCACTTGTAGTTGAAGATGGCGACTCTGCAACTGTAGTAATTCTTCGCCCTTTTCCAAATTTCCATCTAAACTAGGATGTTGGTGGACGAAATTGCAAGCACATTCGCCAGTGTGACCTGACATTCTCCAGGTAAAGAGATTACTGGATGCCTAACAAGCCATGGCAATAAAATTCAAGATATTCTCATGAGATGAACAGGTCTAAACAAATGTTAAAACTCTGACCACATTCTTAAATTACCTTTAAAAAGTGTCCATAAGTGCAAGGTTGCATAATCAAATAAAACATAGGCACCTGGAGGTGCTGTGATGGACAGGTCAGCACATTGCTAAATCACAAACGACAGGATGGCTAATTATTTGCTAAGGATAATGTGAGGTGGTAGCAGATTTAACACTCATAAAAAAATTTCTAACACGATTTGCTATTTAATTAATAGTACGACAATTGTGGCGCAAACAAAAAAAAGCGTTTCTGTTTTCATTTTTATGAAGATACAAGCATATTTTAAAAATATATATTAACAAAGAAATAACCAAACCTACGACGCACACACATTTACTAAAATCCTATAATTAAATCTTTACGAAACTATCCAAAATAATTATAGAAAATTGCGCTGGTACATGCAGTAATTTAAGAAATCAGGCCAACAACTTAGTAACCAATATCAAAATCGACATGTTTCATGTTAATATTTTGTCGCAGAAGTAACTATAATAAGATCAATAAATGCTTTTCAATTGCAATTCCTCAACCAGTAAAAGCTTGCTAAAACTAACCTTATGAGTGTTCAGGTGACACAAACAAAGTCAAATAAGTAGACAACTAAATATAAAGCTGTGATAAATTAAAACACATCAAGAACGCCAATGGGGAAATCATCAAAAACGTTGCAAACATTGCTTGCATTCCATTCAGTAAATAAAGCTTTAAAAGAGTTATAATTTGATACAAGTATGGACCAAGAACAGAATGTAATGTTCATTAAAATGAAAGTATTCTTGAATGAATTATTGTTCAAGGCTTTTAAATGATTCACAAAACAATTTCAATCAGTAATCTAATTCAAACCTCTGTTTAACGTCTGAATTTTTTAACTGAATGTGGCAACAAGCAATAACTCTCATTCGTTGACTGTAAAACGTGTCCTCTGCCATATTATGCGCCACGCTTCAAATTTTAGCTAAAAGTGATTCCTATATGTTAGCAGTTTTAACATTAAAAATCGTAGCCCTTTTTATAGGCAATAATTTAACAATGCCAAAAATTTGGTTTTAATCAATTCTGGTTGATTGTTAGACACAAATTTAACATTCATTTAAAAATTCACATGTAGTAAAAATTCTATATGGTGCAAATATATATAGTCAATTTTGAAAAAATATACATAAATTTTTTTTCTGCGTGTAAGTACTGGTTACGCAAACGCTGTTTGCAAAAACCATTCGGTAAAATTTTATTTTTAGAAGCTCTTTAATGCTTCTGTTGTTACCATCGGAGACAGGAATGTAGTGTCAAAAAATAAAGTGTCAGAAATCCATGTCAAAAATAAGACTTTAAAATTTTTTTTAGTTAATTCTATTTTGCAGATTTTTCAACGAATTAATTTTTTAAAGGTAAATAGAGAACATTAAACTTTATCTTAAATATATTGTCTCCTTTCTTCCATGACCCTGCGCCATCTCACAAGTAACAAACGAATGCCCTCTCGAAAGAAACCTGCAGGTCTTTGAGAGAGTAAAGGTCTCAGCAAATTTGCACACCTATGTGATAGAATTATACAGCTCAAGTTTAACAGAGTCTTCTGAGTCACGCTAATAACGTGAGGATGTGCGATGTCATGGAGCAGAAATATGACTTCCCTACTCCCTTTTCTAGGCACCAGCAGCTGCTGGTCAAGTCCTTCCTTTTGTTTGTTTGATTGTCAGCTCTAACATTTCACAATCACCATCTGACGACCCATTTCTAGGTGTTTGTAAATTTTGCACATCCCTTATCTCCCACCACACACACAAAAGATACATTTTCAAGTGAGTCTCCTGTTTCGGCGTTGAGGAACGAATTGCCAAGGATCTACCTCCGATTCTCGTAGAAAAACTTTTTTGCATGTCAAAGTTTCTAATAAGACGCTCATTCATTGCCTTTTGTTAGAAGTAGGCAATGAAAGACGTGGTCATACGTTAACCTAGGCTGTGTTCGAGCAACATAGCTGAGACCCATCTTTTGAATTGTTAAATTTTTTAAATTATGCGCAAGCGCGGAGAAATGGGGATGACTTCCAACTTAGCTGAAAGCTCCTGTTGCGTTTTTTCCAGTGGAGCTTGGAATTCTGCATCGTTAAATTTTTGAGGCTACTTTTTGGATTGTGGCTTTTGGCTAAGACTGAAACCGCCACTTATGAAATTCGTGTACTAGTAATAACATGTTTAATAAGACAAAAGATCGGCATTAAGTAGACTACAAATTGATTCCTTTGGTGTGTCAAATGAGCTGTTTATCACCTATCATTGCAAACGCCCATGTAAACATAAGAACGAAGCATGTTATGGATTGTTGATACGCCATTGTTGAACTAATCACAAAAGAATTCAAGTAAGTTGGCCGCTATGCGGAATCGGAAATTAGTTTAATAATTTGATAATTAAACGCATGATTTTCCTTTGCCCTTAGCTTTTAAAAAAGAATAGCATAAAATTTTTTTCGGCCACCTGATGCAACAATGAGAAAGCGCCATTTTCACATCATTGATTATGGTAAAACGATTTAACTAACAATTTGCTAAATGTCTAGTTATTATGCAAATTGTACACTCAGTATTGCTGCCTGTGATTTATTGTCACTGTGGCGGCATTTAACATAACATCATCAAAGAAATACTCCTCAAATAGATCAGATTGAATTGTGAACCACTGCCTACAAAGGAATGACAAACAAAAGTATAATTATGTAACAAATCGGCCACAGCCCTACCAATAATACCTCGAGAACACAGCAATAACAGGTGCCTGCCATTTATGTCTTTGTCTTGGAACGAGTGATCGTTCGTAACCAATTAATTAGGAATGAGTCATTGATACTATCTGGCCAGAAAACTCGCACCATTCATGTTACATGGCTGTCAGTCAACTAGAACTTTTCCTTTCCCATATCAATAGTATTAGCTTTAAACGCTCAAAAAGTAGCGCACTACGAGGTTTTAGTCGTCAACCAAAACTAGAAGTTGAGCGGAGTGAAAATACGAGTGAGTATAGGGTAAGTTCTTTGCTGCCAGGGCATGAGAAAAAAATAATTACATCGACCATGTTAGTATCTTTGAGTCCGTCTGAAGTATCATGCGACCTATTTCTGTCAATTTTAAACCGTTTTCGGCACGCTTTACTGCCTTAAGTTAGCCATATTAGGGTTAAGATGCCCACACAATTAAAAAGATCCCTGTTTGGGGGCAGCTAATTTCCTTCATATTTCATTTTAACTAGACAACGACCGCTAAGGGATGAACGTACTTATTGTTGTCAAGAATGAAAATTTTTAATAAGGCAGAGAAAGTTGTGCTAAAAATAAATGAGTTCAGCTGGATTGCCAAAAAAACACCAGCAATGCCTATGACCAGTCATCTGATGCTGATTTCAATTAACTGTGCAAACACTCAACCAAATCATTCGATCCAGGGTGATATGCTGTGGTACAAAAATGTCACCCCCAAAAAGGCCACATAGATTGATGCAGTTGACGATACCCATGTTTCAATAGACACTTAAGCAACCGTCTGTACTGATTATGGCATTGGAGACATTAGTAAAAAGCTTGATATCGTGAAATCAAGCTCTTCCAATTAGTGACAGAATTGTTTTACAGCAAGGTAACTTGTCACTAATTCTCAAAAAAAATGTTGTATCAGCTGCGCCTATCAAAAATAATGTTAGCGGCTTAGTACTAGAGTCCAGATCTCGTTAAAGGACAGAGCCAACAGCAGTTTGGAAGCAACCCTTTGTACAACAAGTTTTGCTTCCTTCTTCCAGTAAAACGAGTTTGTGACATCTGCTAGTGCCTCCTATATAACCTGAACAGCAACTTTAGCCTTCTGAATAATCATTACAAGATTTGCTTAAGTAAAGGAACCACTGCGATATTATTCAGTGCTTTGTAATTGCCGTAAGAGTCCCCTGTCTACAAATTTGCATCTCGATTGAGTGCCTAAGCCAGTCTTGAGCGTGTCTGGCAAATTTTTGCATTTGATAAACAATTATTTAGTTGGTTTTTAAGGCTAATGGTGGTTGGATGGATCTTAACAAACGTAAGCCTTGCCGCCATTGAAATGACGGTACCCACAAAGATCAAATCACTTCTTGGCTTAACTAAGTTAGCTGAAACGTAATGTGGTGAAATGTCATCGTTGTGACTCTTTAAAAGAAAGTTCTTTAATTCCTAGCTAGTTGTTTTTGTAACTTGTTACTGTCTACAAGTTTGTGCTAGACGTTGCACTAGAAGACAAACACTCTTTAGAAAGCTGTTCCAGGGCCTGTCTGCATTCTGGATTGAATTTATGGCATTAGCATTTTTCCGGAGAGATTTTAACCCATAATTGATACTGAACAAATTTATCGACCATGTTGTCCCTAGCCAAGTGCCGCATCTGCCGAAGCAGTTGAGAAAGAGGCCTATCACAAATGTGGCTAAGTTATGTAGCAACATCCCTTTGTAGCCATGCAGCAACATGTGAACACTTAGAGGCTTTAAAGGAAATCATCCGATTGTAAAAATGGGCCTCAACTTGCATAAACTAAACGATATAAATTATATAGAATAAAATTGACAAAAAAGTTGCTTATCTAGAAGAGGTTTTTTTAGCAAAATAGTAATTCATGGTTAACAAGGAAGATGATTGCGAAAATTCGACAGAAATCACCCATCAATGGAGTCAAAAATGAAGTAGTTTCGTTTTTTTCGGGGTCATGAAATGTAGTAGCCTGCCCACAAACCCCTAGTTAACCACTCGTAATAGCCTGAGAACAGGCCAAAGACAGGCATTGGAGATGAGTATGCGCGTGTAATAGGCGATGGCCAATCGTAACCAATAAATTAAGGATTAGTCATCAGTAGAATCTCGCCAGTAAACCCACATTAGTCACGCGGGACGGCTGACAGTCCACTGCGAATTTGCATTCTACATCGACAGACAAACACAGGTCAGGTTTTCAGTACATAAAACAACACTGTTGTGCAAATAATAAGAATGTATCATTATATGTCATCATTTACCTGTCGACACTTTAACTATAATTAAGCTTCGTTTTATTTTTGCTAAAACTTTGGGCTAGTCAGGCTTGAGAATTGTAAAATTTTGTCCTTTTTGGAATTTAAGAAACTAAACGCATTTAATATCGCATTTATCATTCTTTATTTACCTTAATAACATAAAACACCATTGATTAGAAGCAGGCGTATTTATTTAGGTGAGAAAAAAGTGATATCTTGCCGGATTTTGAATCACACAATATATTGTGCATTGATGTTTGTATCTTAAAAAAAAAATTAATGCAACCTAAATAACACAAAAGCTATCTTCTTTGTGATTAATTATGGAGAATTTTACTAAATTTACTTTCTTTTACAAAGTTGACGGCCCCTCAACCGTTTACCTGAATAGTTGGTGATTTCTTAACGTAGTTCCATGCGACGTTTATCCACCTAACTACAACTAGCTCATGCCTATCACCTAATATTGCAGCCTTGGAGTTCACATACTTGTCTATTTGTTTTAAATGGGCTAAAACGTTTAGTTTTAGTACGATAATGAAGATACATTTCCACCGCCTAATTAACATCTGTTCCTCCGTTGCACATAAGTTTCCCATGTCCTTTTGTGAACATCTTACCACAAATCGGTGAAAAAAACACCACAATTCTAGCTACAACTTGCCAATTTATGTCTTAGTTTCTGTAACGATGTGACTCATGTAATTTATTCATGAGTCAATTCAAGGCCATAAGACCAGCACAATGTCCTCAAATAGGCGGCAAATTTTAAGCGCTTAACTTGATTTTCTCTGAAATGGCAGCTCAGTATACCTTTACAGATCTACGCAATATAAACGTGGGATGCCATAACGTGATTGCTGTTGTCAAGTTCTTCAAAAAACCTCAAAAAACAAAAGGCACTGGATATTCTATGTTTGCATCCGTCAGCGACCCATCTTTGTGTGGCGATAAGTTCCCAGTCATATTTCTTTGTAATAACATAGACCACCTACCTCCGGTAATTGTAATTTGCCTTGTTGGTTTTTGATCTTTATCTTTCGACCATCGATTTGGTTAAATTGTCTTGATTTCACAGATTCGCACTCCGGGGGACATCATTATCATGCATCGCCTAAAGGTGTCTATGTATCGTGGCAGCCTACAAGGCTGTGGCCCAGGAAGTTCTGGTTTCGCCTTTGCGGTTTTTCCCGGACTTTGCGATTCTCCGCTAACTCCTTATCCATCTCCAACGAATTGCAGTGTAAATTATTTGTTGATAAAATTTCAGATTTGTGGCGCAATCCTCATGCGTTATTTCCACGACCTTATGCTTCATTGCAGTTCACGGACGCAGATCTGTTCCGTGTATTCGAACTTAGAGGTTGGTATAACTCTGACTCTTGTCCCCTCGAAAAGGAGCTGCCCCCTGATGTGGTTATGACCGAACCCCAGGTAAGTACCTGTTGCCTTCCACGCTGCTTACGCGTTAGTTGTCTGTTCGTTGCATGCTGTGAAAACTATCCTTATTTTTAGGCCCCTAGCAATCAGATGGTTCCGTTTGCCGAGAGAGTCGTCCCGTCTACTCGTATTCATTCCATAATGAAAAATGCGTTCGTAAACATTGAAGCGCAGGTAAGTCTAATGGCCCGCTTTTGATGCCATGGGCGTACGTGAGTCGCTGTGAGATCACACTTTCGCGTACAGATTGTCGCAATCTACTCGTATCCGCCGGAGATCACACGTGATATCATTCTGAGCTTGTGGGATGGCCAGCCGCCTCCTGAAGCGGCATCTCTTCCCCCATTCTACACACACCACGACCTCGACAGGCCACCTCACATTAGCGACTCGAGGACAGATCCACACCTCGCCGCTATCACAGGCCATTCGATGTTGCCTGCTAACGAGGACTGGTCAGTGACGGTCTTCGTCTTCGACGAGCACGCGCAGTCTGCTGTCGCGAAAAAGTTAAAACCGGGGGATCTCATTCGAATCATTAACGTCCATTGCACGGGAAAACTCGGCGTAGGTTATGGTTTATTTACTTGCTTTTCTATCATCTAAATTGTAAATAATGCAGGGGAAAAGATTCGATTTAAGTAGACTGCTAGTTTTTGTGCTTTGCGGGATGGCGACGCGTGAATGAACCGTCGTTGGAAACGCTGCTTTTGTCGTTAATATCCAAAGCAAGTAACCAATCAACTACGTAGATTCAAACCTGATAAGATACCCATGATTTGGGTGTAAATAAGTGTGTCGAACTCAAAGCTGTGTAGATCATAAACAGCAAACTAGACAGACCGTCTTTCTCTTGAACAGCATGTGCGACGCAAGTTGGACGTCCACGGAGGTGGACAGAAATACGGCCGACGGATTGAGTTGCTGACCGAGGAGACGGCTCCACCAGACCTCGTGGCTAGGCTGAAGGCGGGTCGCGATGCGCGAAAACCGATTACGACGCCGTCGCAGTCGCCGGGTGCCGCCGACTTGGGCGTCGTACGTTGTCTAAGTTCTTTTTTCGCCGTTTGACCGTTGTTTTTTTGACCAAACTCGACTCCCACTCCTTGATGCCCTTGAACACGACCTTCTATGGGCACGTGGAAGTGCTGAAGATCGGCTAGAACGGAGACTTCACTGCACTCTGAAGTTCTTTGAGATGTTGGATACAGTTCGCCACAGATTTCTACTTTTGAGAAGTCTTCGAATTGGGAATGTTGAAGGCAATTTGAACAAACCCTGAATACGTAGACGAGACTAGATTTGCAACGTGACGTCGGCACTGTTGAGCCCATTTTGTCTGTCGACACTACTGACATACTTTCGAAGCAAATGTTGTTACTACTTAGGGTCGGAGATACCTTCCGTAGCACAGACGCCTAGCATAATGTTGCCGCAGTCATGCTATCTCGGTGCTGTTGTCATTTAGTTGTTGATATGGAAGTTGCGCGACGTGGTTTCACTGCTAGGTCCAGCAGCAGTAGGGCCATCAACTACCACACCGCTTCACCACAACAACCCCGCGATGTGTCGTCTTCGGGTTTGTGGCCGTGTTGTCCGCGCACGCCCTAATTCCCCACGCTCCCTCTTCCGATGCCTCCTTCTCGTCTGTCGCTCTTGTGGCACCTCCAGTCGAATCAAGTCTCCCACGCTGTAAGCCTGTCGCCTTTCGTGGAGGCGTTGCGCCGTGCCAGACGTTCCCCCTCTGTCATTCCCTTTTCAGACCAATGTGCCCCTGTGGCAAGAGCACGCACTTCCTAGCACTTCCGATGTTTTACCTCGTCCTCGCAGACCTCTCAGGACGCGTCTGCGTTCTCGTCTCGTCGCGCGGGATCCGAGCTCTCGCGGGACCGGACATGTCGAGTCTGCGTCGGCAGTTGCGGCTCCTCGTGTCGGCGACGGCGTCGCCACAGACAAAACGCGCCACGGCCAGGTCCATCACCGCGGCTTGGAGTCGTTGCGTGTCCTCGTGGATTGACGCCACACTCCTAGTGAAGCGCAGTCCCACCAAATCCACCGTCTCAATCTCACTCCTCGCCAAATAATTTCATCCGTCTTTAGAGTACAAACGTCATTGCATTTACGTCTCATACATATATCATTCATTATCTGTTCTTACGTGTTTTTTTCGTTCTTCCGTTCACTTTGGGCACAGTGGTCGGTTTCGCTACGCTTCAGACCTTCAAGCAAAGTTAGTTTTTCGGACTGCGTTCACCTCAAACGCTGGAGTTTGCTCTGGAGCCAGCGGTTCGGTGTTGAGGGTTGTGGAAGGTGTTTGTATTGCTATATTAAGCAGAATTGTACTCCAGGCCAGATGTACAAGTAGGGGAATCTGAACGTGTACTTAATCGTTGCCCGAGACGGTAACACCTTCCACCGTCTGAGGAAGTTCAGGAGGTTTGTCTGGATGCAGGTGCGGGGAAGGGGGGCGCTGACGTACTAGACAAAGGAAATCGATTAGTTGCACTCGGCTAGACCGTTCAAAGCTGGTTAGCTCTGCACTGTTAAACGCAAGATTTACCTAAAGCGGGTTCTGGCGACTCAGCAGGCTTCACCTAATGGCGTCGCGAGGTTGTAAACTTCGAAAATCAATCAAATCTAGACCTCACAGTCAAAATCTACTTTGTTTAAATGCATTCGTCGTGCGTAAACTGGGCAATTCGATTAGATAGGAAGTTCGCTGGATGTGTCAGCGTTTCTCGCTGTTGAGGGCGTTTAATCAGTCGGGCATCGATCTTGGCTGTAATTAGCTGTTGGTTAAGCACCACAGATTACACAAGAAGTAGCACTAAATTGGTGCGAAATATCGAACGATTGGCCAGAGCAGATCCCTGAGAATGAACCTGATTGGGTCGCTATCGTTTGTTCTGGCGGTGAAGGCGTAGTCCCAAAGATACCGTAAGACTGTGGTGCAGTAAAACTTTGTATAAAGTTAAAAAAACTTCAAAAGAGGTGAAAGCTGTGCTTGAAACGAAAGCATCACCAGGGAAAAATAGGTGAAGTGATTTGGGTTCCGCAAATCAAGACGTCCTACAACCAACTTAGGAACTCTCAGTGCGTGGTACTAGCAAATTCACCTCAGCCAATAACAGCCCGAGGTCCCAAACAGTGAGTGTGATTCAAGGTCAGACTTTCGGTGCCTCAAGTCCCGTTTAGGTGAGTTGATTCTTCATTTGGTGGATAACTCTTCAGACATATCAGTTGAGCAGACGAGGTGGCCTTAACTGGAGAATTGGACTAGTCATCTCTAGGAAGACGGACGTTTCTAATGCCGTAGGCCATCCTCAGGGATCGATCGAAGCCTTGATGCATATCTTCGTCTGATGGCATATCAGATTGAGGTGTCGAAAGCGACAGTAGTTCTCATGTTGGGCATCGTCCATTGTGTGGACGAAGCTCTCGTACTTCTGAAGTCCGTAGCTCCGATGCGAATATCGATTTTTTCTTAGTCGAAATAATTTGAGTGCTGTTCTAGGCGGTCCGAAATCTTTTACTTGAATTTTGTTTTCACCTTATGCAGTGATTTAAATATCGGTCACTCCGATTTAGCTTGACGCCTAGTCACACACAGCCAAATTTCTGGAAAGAAGAGCTATCTAAAGTTGCAAATTTGGCACAACATTTGCAGCTTGTAAAACGGTATTTTTTGTAACCTGGGCTCAGCCCCCATTGGTTCGCCACTCAATCCCTCGAATTCTTGCGTACTAACAACAAAGTGGCCTCCCGTTGCGCTTCGTACAAGTTGTGACCTTCCATGCGTTTGACCTTGACCTGATAAATCAACACCACGGGGACGTCAGTAGGGTGTCGTTTACGGCTGACCAACTTGGGGCGGCGTGATTAAGGGACTTTTATGTGAACAATGAAGCCCACGATTTCCCCAGGCATTACCCCTAGCGCTAAGGACTTTAACTGCATCTATTCCCAAGACATAACACTAAGTAGCTGACATAGCGTACGCAAATCCAGCCCCCTTTTCGCCCAAATTAACTCCCTAAAACTAAAACGCGACCAGGAGAACCTAATCGCGACAAAACGGAGCTGTGGCAGGTTACAACACGAAGAGGGGAGACTGACTAAGCCGTGTATTGGAGGCCGCACACAGACTTGCGGGTGTCCTCGGTGCAAAACAGGATGAGCTGAGATAAAGGTACAAATGACAGAAAACGGCCGGAGGGGCAATATGCGGGTAGTGGCGGGGGGGAGGGGAAGGTAGTGGCGAGTTGCGACAACCGCGATATTGAGTCCGATAGCAGACTGTTTTTTTTCTGCAGTCGTGGCCTCAACTTGTTATCGATTAGGGCGCTTTGTTTGGGGGACAAAGAAACGAGGCCAGCTACCGGGATTAGCTGCTAAAATCGGAGGAAAACAAGTAGCCACAAGCACAACGCGTGGAGTAAAAGCGAATTTCACGTAAATGATGAACTATACAGGGCGTAGAAACGGCGTGATAAATGCTAACGTGGTGGGGGTGGGGGGAGGTGATTAGTCGTGTCAACGCGACGACTGACTAACGTCGGGGATGCTGGTGCTGGACGTGGGCACCTCGTAGAACGACGGAGGTGGTTGATGATGGTGCTGGTGGTGGTGGTGATGATGGTGTCGCAGGGAGATGAACTGCTCGAAGGCCGTGTCCATGTCGTAGGCGATGACGTTGGCGTCGCCACAACACCCCGGGTAACTGGCCAATCGCACGACGCCCACACCACCGCCGAGACGACGCGAGTTCATGCTGCCTTGGAGACGCCAACACGCTGAATCCGGGTCGTAGACTTCCACCGACTTCAAGTAACTAGCTCCGTCGAAGCCGCCGATTGCAATCAGCTGGTTCCGAATCACCGTCAAACCAACCTACCAGACAATGTGTTAAAGCATGAATCAATAAAGCTTGTCTTTTTGTACTTGGGTTATCCACAACGTCCAATCAAATAGCAGCACCAACTTTCAATGTAGAATACCTTCAGCAGGCCATGTAGTTGGCAAAGTTGCATTCCAAGTACTCATAGAAGTTTGATCGGCTCAATAACTTGACCATTTAGCTGAAGTAAATTTGATCAAGACTCGACTTCGACTCACAAATGACCTTCAAACACGATTTGTCCCCAGATTTACCCAATTACGTTCACGACAAACCAGGCCTAGTTTCTGCTAGCTGCTCAGTTAATAGCCGATGTACAAGAAAACGTTTATTTGTGCCCATCCCCAAAAAGTAACAGGAAACAGTTGACTACAAGGGAGGCTTCGCTTCATTGAGAATCCATGGCGTGGGTGGCATCACCGTTGGCCGTGCTCTTGGACCCTTCAGGGTAATCACATTCGCCGTTTTCGCAGTCCTTGCCGTAGTTTTGGGTGGCGTGGCAGGCGTCGCCGTAGCACACGAACGCGCACACCCCCGAGTCACAGCCGAACCCGTAGAAGGGTCCGTTGGTGCACACCGGGGTGTTGCACTTCCTGAAGTTGTAGTAGCCAACACATCGGCCGGCATCGCAGCCACCCCAGTAGCCACAGTTGCCACCCTTGCAGCCCCGCTGACCTTGAGCGCCGTGGGCCCAACCGTCGTAGAGACCCTTCTGCGCCGGCTTCTGGGTGCTCTTTGGGTGGACACCGTACCCCCCGTAGCCGAAATTGCGACACCCAAGCCCGTAGCAGACGTAGTCGCAGACACCGTCATGGCAACCGTAGCCTTTGTAGCGTCCAGAGACGCAGACGGGTTCAGAGCAGGCGTCGAAGGAGTAGTCCCCGCCACAGCCGTTTCCAACGCAGCCGAAGCTCGTGGCAACGAAGCTGGCCAGGATGATAAGAATGGGACTTTGCATGTCGATGCTTCTCTGATGTGAGATGACCCCAAGCTGCACCGTTGCCTCTCTTATATATGTATATGTGAACGTACTCTGCACTCCTTCCAGCACGCGTTGTTCGATAAGTTCGACGAGTGTCAATAGGTCATGTCGCAGTTATCGAGAGGGCGACTCGATCAGCCACAACGCCAAATTCCGAGATTATGCAGTGTCATATCAACTATCCAACACACACTGTTCACACGATTTAGCACCACTTAAACTATGTTTAGGTGGAAATGCGTTCTGGGGAAGATTAGTCGCTGAATTAGGACTAATCGAGACAATGATTAAAACCGCAAACTTTGTCCTGTTATCGATTCAACTAATTAAACCTCAGATAGCAGCTCAAGTTGTGGTAAAATATCGGGAGTCCTATGAGGCTAGACTGAAGTTTGTAAATTAAAGGTGTAAAACCAAAAAGGGAGCAAAAGTTTAAGATTTTTGCCGAAGACCCAGAGCTCCTGGTGAGGCATTTGAGCAAGTGAACTGACATGGGCCAAATATTGTCTAGTTCAAAGGTCAAATGCTCTGCCAATGACTGCCCCCGTAGTCTATTTCCGTGTTCTGCTACATAGGGCTGCTTAAAACCATCGTTTTTTGTTCAAATTATGCTCAATTCCTGAAGTCGCGGTGCAAACGTTCCCGTCACAAGATCGTGAAAAGAATGTGATCGTTTGGAAGTGTAGATGAAAGCGCTGACGACTTGTTCCATTATAATGAATAGAGAGCAACACATTCAATCAGTGCCATCAAGCGTAAACTCTACCATACTTTGAAGTTCTGCAAAGATTTCTATCAGGTTTCGCTCGGAGACAAAAGAGCACCATTTGAGCAAGTGTTAGAAATTACAACAAGATTAATTATCTCAATTTCCACACCAGGATGTCTGTTCCAAATCGGTAGTTCTGTTGCTATGAGCGAGGAATTGAATAAAATACCAGAAAACATGACACGAATCAACAAGACGTGTTCTGGTGGTTTCATAAATACAAATGTGACCAAGTTTTGGTAAAATATCGTGAGTCTAATGAGGCAGTCTCTGAGAAACCAACTCGGTCAGCCGCAACACCAGCGAATGTTAAACTAGCACAGCCTGAAACCGCAAAATTTTACTTGTAATCCGCTCGTTCAAATGTGAGCAAATCAAAGTGGCTTCGTTCACAGTCTACAGCTTTGGAACTAAACACAGACTACTCGAGATCACAACCCAGAGAAGCAGTTTCGGGGGTGTGATTAGATCAGGAGTTTGCAAAAAGGGTCGAAAATTTTGTGAAATCATGCAGGAATTGAATGAAAAGTACTACATCATCCGTGCGAAATACCGTCGTCAAGGCACGTGAACATTGGTTCACGCGGGGTCTATTGGTGAACGAGGCGCGCATGTCATATCACACTCCTGAGCCCGCCTGAGGCAACTCGACACACAAAAACACAAGTCAGTTGACAAGAGATAAGGGCACCGCCGCCTACCCCACTGCGTCTCGAGGTCATGGCAACGACAGGACACCAGGCGTTGGCGCGGACGTCGTAGCACTCGGCGGAGGAGAGTTCAGTGGAGTCGTCGCGTCCACCGACAGCGTAGATGAAGCCGCCGAACGCCGCCACGCCGAGGTGCTTGCGTCTAGCCGACATCGAGGCGATGCGATACCACGAGCCGACACGTGGATCGTAGTGCTCCACGGTAGCGAGCGGGTGTTGGCTGTCGGAGCCGCCGACTGCGTAGAGCTGTCCGTTGATCACGGCCACACCCACGCCCAGACGTCGAGTGGACATGTTGGCGACCTGGTAAAAATAACCAGCCCAGAAATGCAGATTATATTTATTGCTACTAACTATAAATGAGTAGTATGAATTAAGAAAAACAACGAACCTTCGTCCACTTGTTGATGACTGGGTCGTAGCGTTCGACGAGGTTGAGACACGTGACCCCGTCCTGTCCACCGACAGCATAGAGGAAACTGTCAAGCACCGCGACACCGACACTCGTGCGGCAGGTGTTTGTTGGCGCCACGTCGGCTGACCACATGTTGGTGTGGGGATCGTATCTGGAGGGGCAATGAGACACGTGAGCCGTAGTGGCGGTGGTGGTGAATCAATTAATGTAGTACCACCTACCTCTCGACCGAGTTTAGGTAACTCTGGCCATCATGACCCCCCACGGCGTAGAGAAGGTCGTTGACGACGCCCACACCAACTCCACAGCGTTGCTTGTTCATTGGCGCGACCAGCGTCCATTCGTGGGTTCGCGGGTCGTAGCGCTCGGCCGAGGCAATAGCGTCGCCCGAGCACCAACCACCCACCGCGAAGAGAGCCTCTCCAAAGGCGACGGGTTTGCGAGGTCGCGTGCGCGGTCCCTGCATTCTGGAACGCTCCTGAGGCAGCAGGAGGTAGTTCTTGGCTTCGTCTATAAGATCACGACAGAACTCGTTGGAGCGAACAAGAGCGCTGGCACCGACTACGTCGACGAGGAACTTTGGCGTTAGCAGGGGCAGGCGGACGTGCTGCAGAAGCAGTGGCAAGTGTTTTTGACGCGATGTAAGGTCGTGTTGAAGCCAACGCATGACCGCCAGGTAAACCTGCTCCTCCCCTCGCACGCTTAAGTCATCGGAACTAAGTAATTCAATCAATTGTGAAACTGGGAGCAGCCTAAACTCCTCCGACTCCACCACTTCCTGAAACGGAAATGCGAAAAAAATAGTTTGGGTACCGAATTATTGTATATCGATAGGATTTTTTTAAGAAAAGACAAACATACCAGGAAATTCTGATGAACAAACCGATCGGCCATTTTGAGTAAATCTGTACACGAGTGAGTGTCCGCGAAAGCCCGAATTCCGAGGCAGTTTGAGGGGTCCAATTGTCGCTTGAGAAATTCGCAGCAGATGACTTTAATTTCTGTCATTTGGAGGAGGCAGGCTGCGGGAAGTAGGGCCTGGACATTTTTCACCTCAACTTGAATTCGGCTGGTGTAGCAGAAATTAACCAGGGTCTCAACAGCATTGGGATCCAAATCAAAGAGCTTCACCTCCATCTGCCGCGATTCGGCCAATTCACCAGCAAACATGGCCTTGAAGTAGGGCGACGATGCTGCCAGGACAACGCGATGTGCGTAGATTTTTTTGGAATCTACTAGCAGCACAACATCGCAAAGCTCCTTGTTCTTGCGCAACACGTTCATGGCATCAAGAGAGTTGCGAGAATGGAACTCGGATACGTATGAAAGACGGTGTTGACTAGATGGAGTCGAGACAGTGACGGTGCCACGTCGCAAGGAGTTACAACAGGGAGGTGTTTCGAAGCCAACAGAATCTGGCAATCGACAACGATCGCCCAAGTGCACTCGATTCGACAGGCTGCAAGGAGCCGAAGAGGTTAGGTCCAGTTGACCGGGGCATCTACTTTGGCCACAACGATGCAGGTGGAGGGAATATTCGTTGCCTTGGGATAAATTAATTGACGACGAGTACGAACTAATCGGACTTTCCGCTTCTAGAGCGGTAACTAATGCCGTACCCTCACCGGAAGTATCGATTGAACGCGTGTAGCTATGGCTAGGCGTATTATGGGACGAATATGGAATACTAGGAGACACCGGAGAAAGTCCATGGCTTGAAGACTGTATTGGCAATGGACTAGCACTGGAAGAACGCCGGGTTGCATTGCTTGGAATGTCGAGTTCCATGGGAAAGTGCGGCAGCATTGTTGATTGCAGCCCAGAACTTCTAATGCATCAAAAAGGTTAAGCCTCGGGCATATGTGTAGAAATCTAGTTAGTTAAAGTAATTAAATTCACGCTATGAACAGCACATGTCGCCCTAAGTAAGGGCAAGCAACCCAAAACTTTTGCTGATTTAATTGAGGCGCACATAGACAAGAACTACAAAAAGACTCAATTGAGATTTTGAGAAAAGATACTGACCTAAAAGACCTTTCCTAAGGCACATCAGATGTATATTTTAATAATAAATTTTTAAAATATACATTGCGGAGATTTGGCCTTTACAATTCAACTGCGCTTTGTACTTCCCTGTTAACACCACAGAGATTACTTAGTGGCAATACAATGCAAGGAATCAAAACATATATTAGCATGTTAACTAATAAAAGTTTGAAAAACTTTTTAAACTGTAGATTGTTATTGTGCAATACACGGTCACTCTAAAAATAAAAACGATCGATTCCAAAAACTATTGTTGACGTCTGTGACAGGTTTCGCACTAAGGAAAGCGAAATGCTGAAATAAAGAGAAAAAACAGTAAATTAAAGTAATATTACGGAGTGTCATTATTATTATTTTTTCAATTTCTTAGGAATAAACAATTTTGTTTTCGAGATAATGCCGTAAATTAAGCAAAATCTCCACTGCAAAAAATAGCATGCTTATTTGCGACTTAAGCCGTTTTTGATGTCCTTCATTCATGTATTGTAAATTTGCAGTCAAAAGCAGAGTATTTCCTGGTTAATAAGTCGTTTTAAATGTCTTTCCGTTGGCATTTCGCATGTGCCCAAAGTAGTTTTACATCATTTAAAATGAACTGCAATTTTCGGCAGGTTTAGTTAATCTTACCATATTTTACACAAGGTCAGATTTCCATTTAAAAAATACATCATATTTGCTTTATAGATTCAACGTGATAGGTTCTTTTCTGTGGTGTCACTGGCGTGGTCGCTTGAGTGCACTAGGTCCCCAGATGAAAGTGGGAAATGACCAACTAGGAAAGAAATAGAAGATAGGTGATGGTATAAGTCGTCAAACGCCTTTTTGGAGATAAGAAAAACGACATTTGTGTAACGAACCCGCATATATGGGAAAATCACGTATTCACTCAAACCAACAAAAGTCACAAATTGAATTTCTAACAGAAACCAATAAGTCGAACCCAGTAAATTTTCATTGTATAACTTCTTAACATTCACAAACGCTCAAAAACACACTTTACATAGGCGAAGAAATTTTTTGCAACTGCCTCATTTGAATTGCATTAAAAAGCATTTTACTAAAGGACAGCTTGCGTCTTCCATAACGAACAATAATATTTCGATTAAAAAGAGCGAAAGTGAATCAAGCTTTACTGCTACAAAGGCTTTTATAGTAGAAAAACGTTCTTTCGAGTAGCTCCCGAAGAGGGTGGGTTAGAGTTGAATTCCTTGATCTGACGTGATTTCGGAGGGCGAAGATGTCCTGCGTCGTGCCATTAACAAAAACTCAGGATTAATGGCTATAACCAAGGTGTAAGAGTCAACAAAGTTTAATTACATAATGCATGGTATGGTCACAGCTACAATCACTTTCCTGAATACAAACTTAATAATGCGTTAAGAAAAATAGTTTTGTATATATCTTGTTGACGGTGTTTAATGCGAACGTTTTAACTACTAAGAAAAGTACTTTTAACATAAAAATAAAAATTGTTAAATATCAAGCATATAAATTCGAGTATGCTTAAACATGCGTGACGAATTGTCGAAAGTCCGATTCCTTACTGACGATGTAGTAAGTGTAGTGAAGATGAGACTAAACGCTCGGAAGTTTTTTTTTTTCATTGAACAGCTACTGCAAATAATGCTTAGCACAAATACAACTCATAATGTAGAGCTGTATAAAAACAATCATAACTTGTTTGACTTTGGTAGAAAATCCTCTAGATTTGTGGATAATTTAGTCATCTAAATCCAAAGTACGCGATTTGCACTTTAGAAAACGCGGGTATTATAAGTGATTGTGGCGTCCATTGGAATCGTTGTTTTGATTGGTTGTTTCTGCAAATTCTTGCCATGCGTTGGCTGTCAGATTTTGCATTTCGAAATGGGGTATTCCTGTCAGTTTGTCAAAAGCGGTTTTATTGGCACAGAATGGGCTACAAGCCCCGGAACATTGAACCTGGCTCGTATCCGTTTCCAAGGAAGCAAGTTCCTGTTGAGGGTCTAAAGTCGTATGCCGAACGCATCAAAGGTTTTTCGAATAAATTTTATTTACTTCTCAGACGTTGCTCCGGCCCAACAGTCCCTAGAACCTGTGGACATTGGATTCAAATTTGATCCTCCCAAACGTACCCACAAGATCATCAAGAGGCCCGAGCTGGAACCGTTGGCTCGGCGAAAAGAACTGAAGGTAAAAATTGACGAAGTGCACAACGCCGACGAAGACGTTGAGTCACCGATCCGTCGATCACTTGCAGCATGCCATTATGGCATCTTCTCCGACCTCTTTGGACCTCCTCATCAGTTCAATCCGGTTGTAGATCTACCAATCTTTTATCCTCTCGCAAATTCCTCCGATGTCATTCCGGTTTTCTGTGGCAATTACGTTTCCCCGGAAAATGCCATGGTACTTCTTGTACATTTTATCACCGTAAATATCCTCAATATTTGTGTTGTTGTAATCCAAATGTTCTTTTTCACAATATTGAAATTAGATTTCACATCGTATTGGGAATTGGTTTTTGTAATTATCTTGAAAAGCTATCTTATTCTGATTACGTGGTGCCTACTTTTTTTAATCTGGTGCTTTTCGTAGCCCATTTGGAATAGACAGTGACTGTTGAGCGCCTTTTTTTCAATTAGGATGAGCCCCTTGTCGATCTATCTCGTTTAACCAGCAATTCGTTGTGGACACTTATCATGACGTGTCCAGACGAACCGTTGCCTGATGAATCCGACACTCAACCTGCCGAATACATCCACTGGATGATGTAAGTCCTTGTCACCCCTTTTTGTCTCACATTCGTCGATTTGGTGTGGTGCTTATTCCGCTTTTTTTTTTATCTAAATCACCAGCACAAACATCAGCTCAGAGGTGTGTGCAGACGGCGCGCCCAAGAGCGGAGATGTCGTCGTCGAGTACTTGCCACCACTGCCCTACTGTGGCACGGGTTTTCACCGCTACGTCTTCGTGCTCTATCGCCAAGACAACGGCGTCGTCGACTTGTCTGGAGAAACACGTGGGCCCGTCAATGTGTATGTGTGATCGTTTGTGATGTGGTGTGGCTGTAAGGTGTTAGGGCAAGTAGGTGTCGGAGTCACGTGTTCTAAGCGATATACCGTAATGGTAGTCAACCGAATTCGGCTGAAGAGATTGTTGCGAGACTGATTATTGACAGTTGGAGCGCATGTTGCCATTTATTGCAACCTCGATGCACTTCGTATTCACGCGTTTTGATTCTCACGCAAAACGAGCCTTTTTAGAATTCACAAATGATCTGTGGAAAGCCGCATTTAAAAGAAATAGGTGCTGTAATCATGGGAAGCGAAAGGGCATGATCTGTGGTGAAGGAATTTCACGAGAGGTATCCTTTACGAAATTCTTCCACGTAGCCAAACGCGCCATTGCCCATCAATGTTAACATTTAGACATGATTCTCCTTCACCACGACAACGCTAAACCACACGTCATTCAGCCGACACTGCAAAACTTATGGAGATGAAGCGTACGATCCTGTCATGTCGTAATTCCTCATTTTTTTCTGCAGAGACCAGCATTCCGAGCGAGTGTTCAGTACTGCAGATTTTTACCGAAAGCATCAAGACGCATTGACTCCAGCGGGACTTGCCTTCTTCCAGTCTTCCTGGAACACCTCGGTCAGGTCGTACATTCGTGAGCATCTTCCGCGTGAGTTGGCGTCCTGTTCCAAACAAACTCCGATCAGCCAACCGGAAAAAATGTACTCCTATACACCTTCTTTGCAACTATTTAGTGTCTAAAGAACTGGTATTCGGGGTTGAATTTCCAGACGACTTGCCACCCCCGCAATCTCGCTTCCCATTGGCCAATTCGTGGTTCCACCCACGCCGACACCCCTGTGGCCTCCCTCTAGCCGACAGCCGTCTCGGTGTGCACGAAGACGTCTCCTTCGACGTCTACCTGGATCGATATCGAGATAGACGCGAGATGGACGAGGAGTTGGTGAAACTACGACTGGCCACCGAAGGCAACCCCTTGGACGCCACGTGCAAACGGACCCAGTCACCCTTCCCCCTTGCCAGTCCTCCTCTCCCTTCGGATCGTGAAGTCCCGTCGTGGTGGAGGCAGCAGGAGATTCAACGGCGTCTGCGCAAAGGTCGCTGGGCACAGCTGGAAGGCCACGAGGACTGAAAATCTCTCCTACAAATCCCGCTACTACTTGCTTGTCGGTTAAACATACAATGCGTAACTTTCTTTTCTAAAAGCAATCAGGCAAGTATAATGCAGAAAATATGTCGGTGTCTTATGGTGGTGGTAGTGGTGATGCAGCTACTTAAATTGTAATAAGTAGCGCAGTTTGGAGAGAGCGACGAGACTACCGGAGACGCGAATTTGGTGGTTTTTAATGGCCTCAAGCACGTCCAATCGACCGCGTAGGATGTCAGAAAAGTCGGTGGCTTTTATGTGAACAGTCGCCGTTGCTGCACGTCCCTCGGACACGCCCTTTTCACTGTCACCTGAAAATTGGAAGGTAGAATTTTAAACTCTGTTACTGACAAGAAGTTAGTAGTTAGGATTTTTTGATTTTTGCTACTCTGCGTTCAAAATGATGGTCCGCCGCTTACCCGTATTCGCGTCCATGTAGAACGCAGCTGTGTGCGGTTCCACTCCACTGACGTCCGAATTGTAGACAAAGACTTGTAGACTGGCTTGACCCAGAGCGTGCCGCACTTTCTCATTGGCTAGAAACACCTTGGCACGGGATAGTACTCCGTCAATGAGCTCGTCCAATAGTCGCTCGGGGTCACTGTGATTGGCTGCCACGTTGGCGGGAGAATTAACAGACGCAAATGGTGCGTTGGCGGTGGTGGCAGTAGAGGGGATGGACAGGGTGTTAATCATGTCAACAAATTGGATTGCAGATTTGGAAGCAGTGGTTCCGGCCGTAGGTCCACCGACACCACCACCAACCAGTAGTGGTGAAATTGAGGCAATTTGCTGTCCCAGTTTTTGGAAATCGATGCTGCGAACCTTGTCTGATGGATTTGGAGGCTCCTTGAGAATTTTTACGTCAGATCTGTGTGTTTTTTGCGAGGGGAAAAGAATACACCATGTAAACAAACTGCAGTCGATGCTTCTAGTAAACACGATCACGGAATTATGGATTTAGTCGCTGTCTACTTACCGAAATCCTACAGCCGTCTTGACATACTTGACAGTAAAAAAGCTATGCTTAATTTTTCAGAAAAGGTAGCTACAATCGCTTACATTTTTAGCTCCACAATTTGTACGCCATGCGAAGAACACTGACAGTTTAACGATGACTAAAATGGGATGAGAACTACTAATCAAAAATATCAAAAAGTCAAGTTACTAAAAAGTACAACAGTACAACCTTAAATATAAAAAAGTTCAGTGCTTGAATAGCCGCTCCTCTTCCCCTATCGGGCTAAAAATCAATAAGTATTGATTTTTTATTTCGTATTGATTCTCACGCGCACTAAATACGGTGAAGATTGATTGAAGCTATTTGGCGTTTGGGCAAACTCACGCGAACTTCACTGGCGATGTCAGGTAAAGCGTGACCCGAGGTGAGGTCACGTGAATGAATCCGATTGGCTGATCTCTGAACTGCCGTTTCGGCTTTTTTCGCGACCAAAGTGGAGGGGCTGAAGACGCGTGCACTGATCACGGCGTCGACATCGACGATTTGGAAGACAATTCGACAGCCGATTTCAACCTCACCGCCGTCAACTGTGTCGCTCTGGCAACAGCAAGATCGCAACAGTCAAGGTCATTTTATCAGCCAGTAGTTTCCCTCGCCTTTCTAGCAAGACATTGGTCACGACACTTGTGGTACATGTTGGTGCCATTATTGACACGATAATGCACTATTTCGAGGTTCAAATGCCAACGATAAACTCACGGAAACTGGTTTTACAATGAGAGATTGTTCTTCGAGGTCAATGACGTGATATTCGTCCACAAAAGGCAGAACCAGAGCGAAGCCTAGGTGAAGATTATTAAGATGTGAAAGCGTTTGGCAAATTTTGCATTGCAGAAGAACAGAAGAACAAGGTCTGAATTTTGTGCCAAAATAACCCACAACAAGCTGTACACGCCTTAACTTGATTTGATCTGAAATGGGTTACTTGTCACTAATTTCAACCGCATAATTCACTAGGCCAAGAAAGTAATTACTGTAAACTGGTAATCCACCAATCAAATCTCTAGATGGTGGTCATCACTGTAAACTCGTAATACACCAATCACATCTCAAGATGGTGGTTATTACCTGGGCCCTTTGGTTTTAGTTGTCTCCCCAGACGATACACAATCAATGTTTTCGACTTTGGTAGTTTCTACAATGACAGTAAAGTGTGAATGAAGGAGTTTCGATAAAATGCTCATATTTCTATTGATTGACGAAAGTAAAGACTCACCTTAATGCAAAACCAGGCGGTAACGGGGAACGTAGCTAGGAGCAGTAAAGTGGAGAAGAACACAAGGACAAAGTAGACGCTTGCACTGACAGCGGTTTCAGGTCTTTCCTCAAAATCGTCCTGGATCTCTGGGTCTGTTGAAGGCAAAGAAGTCTTGTGACACGAAATGTCTAGGCCAACATCTTTAATAAACATGAAATTAATGTTACGCAGCCAACATACCATCAATGAATGCGCTTTCATAAGTAAATATCGATTGGTAGGGGGCCGGTATGACGTCAGCGTCTTCCGCAGGCCTTGTCATTTTCCGCTTTGATTTCTTCTCATCGACACTGACTACCTCGGGGGTAAAGTCGAACGCGGTGCCGAATTCGATTGGTTGAGAGCCTTGGTAACCGGTGAAAGTCAATTTCGGCTCAAGGAGCGAGACACTTCGCGCGTGGGCGCTGTCGCCGCGGTTTGTGGGGGTGTCTGCCTCGTAGCTGAAGGTGTATCGCCTCGTGGAAAGTGGAATGAGACCGTCTTCGGCGTCCACGTCGTCATCGTCTCCATGGTTCCCTATCCTACGATGCCACGGCCGACGATGCTGACTGTGCGTCTCGCCAACCATTGGAGCTATGAGTGACCTTTAAAAATGCGAGAGCGAATTTCATTGGTCAACTACTGAGGTTAAATTAGGCGTCTTTCAAAAAAACGATCATGAGGTTATCTCAACATCATATTCGCTGAGCAGCTTCATTTATCGCCGTCGCGACATTCAATTATCTACTGATAATGATGTCAATATCATGCAAACCACAAAAAAAATTAAGACCAGTTGCAAAATAATATTAATGCACCCAAAGAAATTGCTGTTGAACTGTCACATCGTTGCAAAAATTAGTGCCGGAACAAACTTAACTGATGACCATTGTGAATATTTATTTTTTGTAGATTAAGACTGAAGTTTAGGGTCATACTAATCCCGGAAAAAACTGACATCTATCAGATTAATTAACGTAATTAAAATTATCCTCAAACATTGAAAATTTGCAGCAACACTTTAAAATTAGTTCAATCTCCACATTAAGTTTTTTTAAAGTAGCAGAACTTGGTTATTATTACATTTTTTAATAGGCACACAAACTTTGATGTAGGAAAAACGTAATTGACCAGTTTTCAATCCTTCAACGAAAATTTTTAAGACCATTCCCAAGGGTACTTAAAGATTACTGTCATTTTAGCTTTCGCGCAATTTTTGCCTTTTGAAATAGTTTACAAAGACAAAACTTGGGCGATCACAATCAATGCCATAATTAAGCTATGTCAATGATCTGGTAAAAGAAAAAAAATGTGTGATTTACCATTTTTGGTTACTTTTATTACATCCAAAACAACAATCATTTATAAAACCAACTAATAGGACCTACTGCCACAAATAAGCAAAATAACAACGAACCATTCAATGCAAAGTACATCCGGCTCAATTAGAATTGCGATTGCGTAAATGGTTTTATTGAAATAAAAAAATTATGTACATTTAAAAGAGGTCAAGACTAGGAGCAAACATGCAGCACAAAAACCAGATTAATAGAAATAAGAGGCAATAGAAAAAAAGCAAATCACAATTTACAAAAACGTATTATGGACTCAAAGATATCTCATCTTTGCTAACGAAATATTAAAGCTTAGACCAGCTGTTCCAGTCATATATAATTAAGTCAAAATGGCAAAAGCTAGACAACAGCAAACACACAATATTCTTTAATTCAAGCATAACATAGTCAAACTAACGAAAAAAAGAGAAAAGTAGTGCCAATTTACCTTTAATTTAAATTAGATCGAATAGAGAAGGTGTTGTTCGTAGATTATGTGATGCAAAACATTAAACACGGGCACGTGATTATTTAACGTATACATACTACGGTGTTTAGAAGTCTAATAATTTCTCTTACAGTTAATATTAAGATTTAGCGGATGATCATATATACAAATTTGCGGACATTAAAGGTTTTGGGCCACAGAAATGAACGTCTAATTTGGAGCAGCTAAACAAATGATATTTTTCAAACGAAAATTATTGCCATGTATTTAGTGATTTTACATTCAGAACCCCTTGAAATTCTCAACTAACATATTAAAAAGACAGGCGCAAGGTTTGTGCAGCAATTTTTTGCGTTTTTTTCTAGTGATTCATTTTTAGTAATTTATGAATATTTAAAACAGACGGATAATTTCAACATGTTGATCATTAGTGAAGTATTTTTTGAATATCTGTGCAATATTGTATTTGTACTTATGGTAGCCCTGCATTTTATGGGCAGAACACTAAACGTACTTTTTTTAAAGAGATCTACATTAAAGCAGCATTTAATAAGAAATTAATTATAGCGGTAGCGCCTTGCTTTATTTTTACATAATTTATTTAACATCTTGTAGATTTCCCAATATCTGTACAGGCAAAGTATCAAAATTTCTGCATGTCTAATATAAATTTTTTTGATTATATGACCACGAATATTTCCCACTTACATTTTGCTTTAAGAAATAACTGACCGAACCTTTTTTATGTTAACGTTACTTAACATGAAAGACAAGTTATTTCATTCATATCTTGTATCAGGTCCAGGTATGCTGACCCAAACGAGACATTTTTACTTATTTAGAAATGGAATTAAAAATTATTCGGTTAATATTAAATTATTAACCTGACGATATAATTATGCTAGCTGTCTTCAAGTTCTATCCACGTATTACGTTATTACTTCTGACATGGTTGGGTGAAAATCGCATTAGGAAATTTTCTGAGAGCAATGAAGGCATCACATCACTATATTAATCGGAATTGTTTGGTATGAAAAACCATAAATCTGAAAGTGGCAATCGGTTTTGCCTAAACAGTGGTGACCGTTATATATCATCAAGATATTTCTTAGGTGGTCGATAATGCATTAAAATCTGAAACAGTAATTTATTTCTATTTTTTAAATTTCACACAATGCAACAAAATTACTTAGGTTCAACTTTGCTTTTAAAAACTCATGCTAGTAAATACGATTTTAACCAATTAACACAATTGCAATTCACGTGGCCAGAACGATGGCAGGTGCACCCATAAATGCAGATCTGACACATTCTCAGCTTAATACACATCAATTATGTCTACATTATTAATTAGGTGCTTTGGGCTGTATCTAGTCAACATAGAACTGGCAAAGTTACGTTTTATTTTATAAAAGTGTAAATTAATATTTTGTTATGGGTACATTCCGTGAAGTTACTATTTAATCAACCACATTACAATGCACATAGTTTTGTTGTTTTTTTAAAAAAATTGACGAATTTTTTTGTCATTTTTGCTTAAATAACTTACGATAGTTTTGAACTCTGTTGTTTTAACAAGTGTTTTGCCTTGTTGCATTTTTGAAATAGTCTAAGTGTTCTTCATCCCTGTGATGGCTTCTCAACAAGCTGTAGACGAGATTACTTCTGCGGCAGAAAATGCCCTTGACAAGATTGAAAAACGACCGTTTATTCAGCAAGTCACAATCGGTGCCGCTAGTGGGCTGTAAAAGCAATAATTATTGTATATTTTTTATCAGGGTAACGGGATATGCGTTGGCGAAAATTGGCAAATCTGCTGCTTTTTTACTTGGTGTTACTGCTATTGGTCTCCAGGTACACATTTCATTACTGTTGAAAGAACCTATGGCGGGATCAGGGTGGTTTTTGGGACATTTTTTACCTGGATGAATGAATACCTTATAGTTCATCCGCTTAACTCAGAAATATTTAGGTCATTATACTGAGCTAATCAGTTTGTGGAAATTATTAATTTCCATATTGTATCAAGTCATCGTTTTGTGTCACATTACAAGCGCGCTAAACTTCACAATTTATGTCTACATATGGTGTCTAGTTTATGACATCCCGATTGGGCGGTTTTAGAGATTGAGTCGATCGATTTATCATGAGTGAAGTTATATTTTTTTAACATTGCGATTTATTTTTAATCGTCATAACTGGTCTGTTTCACAGACGTAATTGTGGCTTTGAAGGTCACATTGATTCATTGATAACTGATTACATTAAAGCTGTTTGAACTTTTTGTTGATGGTTCTTCTCACCCGAATTTAACTGATTCATCAAACTAATGCCTCGGTTTTCGTGTCGTCCGTGTTTTTTATTTGACAGTTTTTTGCATTACTTCGATGATGCTAATTTAGGCATCTCACGAATTGCATAATCAGACAGTCATTCCTGTCGGTCTAATACATTGTGACATTTTCGTCTTCCTCCTGCTTTAGTTTGTATTAAGTCGTAAAGAGTCCGCAATTAACTGGAAGAAAATCGAAGATGAGGCACGGGAAGCCTTTGAGAGGGCATCACAGCAGAAGCAGGTATGTTCTACACGGTAATGAATCCTTCTTCAGCTCATTTCAAATTTTTGTGTTTGTCGAAAGGTTGTCTTGTAAATTCTCACCCTAAAGTGTTTTTTTGTAGTCCCTGGTAATGCCTTTATCGTTCAAATTTGATAAGTTATGCATTTTAAACTCATAACGTCATTGTTTCCTAAAATCACACTTTTCTTGTATCCCCTTACATTTTAGCGAAGTACCCTGCCCCCAAAGGTATGTTACACAACTCCTTTGCATGTTTTGCTCATATTGCACACACGCATGTTTTCTCTTAAATTGTGATGAAGTAATTCACAAGGAGATTGGTTCGTAACCCCCTGTTTTTTGCCTAGATTTGTTGCTAACTTCATTATTAGACGTTACCTCTTGGTCCTTGAATGGTCTTTAGTGTTAACTGGTTTTTTTTTAATTTGTTGGGACCGTCACACATTGTGTGTTTGAAGCGCTGTTTTATTGCGGTTTAGCACGTAATACTTTTAATTGGTGCATAGTCACGTACGACTCACAGATTGACAGCTGGAATTAGTCGTGTGGTTTAGATTTGTTACGCGTGTAATGCATCAATTATTAATGTACGGCTTAACTGGTTTAATTACCTTAGTGTCATAAATTAACGCAAATTTTCGGAACAAATTTTCCGTTCGTTCTAATGCAATGTGATAATCCAAAGACAGTTTAATTGTGAATTTACTGGGCGTTGAGTGATGCTTCTTTTACCAACAATGGCCTTTATTATGCATTTAGTTGCTAGTGGCCAAAATTACTATGGGCACAACTTTTGTTCCAATTGACTGTCAAAAGCGTCGCTGTTACGCTTCTGCAATCACCATTTGAATCCATTTTTTTCTCTTAACCTTTTAGTTGGTGACAGCCTTCAAACAGAACCAGGCATTCTTCGGTTCATTTGGTGGCGGCTTTCTCATTGGCATATCCTTTTCTTAGGTTTTCGTTGTAACCGGTGACGTTTAAACTCGAGTGCCCTATACATTGTAGATCTTGGCTACTTTAGTAAATCATGTATGCCGTTTGTTCGTTTTGTCTTTTTATTCCATGGACCACTGCTACCAAGTGGTAGATGCAAGCGTAGTTAATCTGTTTAACTACAAAGATGGGTGATGTATAAAGCATTTGTATCAATTCATTGCAAGTCCCTGTATTTCATATTGAAGTTACTCACTCGATACAATGCATAATCACGATAGTAGCTATTCACTAGTTAAACTTAAGTGCATGCCTTGTGGCTATATCGTGACTTATCGGTGGCATTTTCATCATCTCTTTGTTGGGATATGATTGCCCAATAAGTGTTGAACTAAGTTGTCCTTTCTGTCGAAATAATCGCGTGCTGCTAGATACCCGTTTGATTGGAAGGTCGGATGTGCGGATAGTGCTAACCAGTGATCTGTAGTATTAACTTGCGATAGTATAAAGTCATAATAGTTTATTGTTAAAATTGGTTCATGTGCCGTGGATATTTATCAGTGCAGAGAACTAGTGGGGATTTCGGCCGGAGTCATACTGTACAACAAAGAACATAGTCATTTCTATGTCAAATAAGGGCGGCGATTGATTTAAACCGAGTATATAGTGGGCCAAAACCACATTTTAAAAATTGGCTCATTCAGTTAATAAGAGTGAAATAGATGGCGAAATTTAAACGTTACTGTTGTTAGACATACATGCCAAGTGAATAAATAAATATTTACGTCAAGCGTGGAGTGTAACTGCTGCGTCATGTGAAATTATCGTAATTTTTTTACTTTAACAGGTTGGTAAAATCAGCTCTCCTGTTGGTACCACAGATTGGAACCTCTTAATTTACCGTGAACTCCACGCCTATCAGATGGCGTAAAGATCATTCTAAACATTCTGCGGAAGACTATAATCATGTCAAAACAGATTTAAAAGGTTAGCACGTTGTTTGTTAAATTTATCTTAGAGCCAGACACGGTGATGGAATTTCACCAACACCAACTCAAGTATTCCGGAAAAAATAATGCAAAATCTGACCTACAATCGCGAAATATATGCACTTTTACATTCAGATTGAAAAATAAGACAAAATATGTTTTGTCAATTGAGTATTTTTTCTGTAATGAATATAAGTTTACAGCCAAATCTCTTGTTTCATCTAATGATTTGATCCAAAAAACCCGGCGTTTTTGAGAATTTTTGCTAACCAATTGAAGTTGCGTGATCTCCCTTCTTTGCGACGCAGCCTTTCTTCGGAGTTCGCAATGCTTCGAGAAGTTAATGATGCTTTATCCAAAGACAAAAAGTAGAGAAACTTGCATATTTTTACCTTTGGCTTTTAGATATAACTTGGCAAATGACCATGTCTACAAGTGTTCTTCGCCTATGTGCTCCGGTTTCTCATACACCCCTAACGTATCCTGCACTGTTTGCGGGAAGCTTATTTCCGCTGTCCCACACATAGAAATAATTCAATGTAACAATGAAAAGACACGTGTGGAGCAAATCGGTGCTAAGAGGCGCCTCGTTGAAAAGTCGGATATTTGTGTGTCTGGGCCATCATTTTCATTTCCAATGGTGGTAATAAGTCTTGGTAAGATGAGCGTCTTTGACGCCAGAGAAAAGCCCTGTACTATTTCAAATGATTCCATATCTTTTGGTGCTCATGTTCATGGTATGTTGCGTTTTTTTTTTCAAACTTTTAATGCTTAGGTTCATGGGTCCCTCTCAGCCTTGATCACAAGGAAGTCGATGATCTACTCTTTTGTGAATCACTTCAGGTTATATTTTTGCGTCCCAAACCGAAGGCCTTTAACCGCATATATGAGGCACTAGGAATTTCGAGTAACCATTCCAAGGACGGTAGGTCTCTATTTTCTCATTGCTCGTAGACAAAAAGAAACGTATCGTAATTGTGCTTGAAAACGAATCTTCACGGAATGTTGTCAATTCTCTCTCAGCATCCCGCTGCTTAACTGTTCCTCAGTTAGAAATTTTCTGCACCAGTGTTCGCCTAGTTGGTGGCGTCTGCATGCCTGATTTAAAACCCTCAGTTGCTCAAAACCTTTTGGTCGCCAACGGTGTCCGACCATCGCGAGGTAACTCAGCCGACACATCGTCCCACGATAGTGGCGCGTCAGAAACCTCCACCTCTCCATTCGAGCCTCATTCTGAGAACACCAATCACACACCCCCTGTAATTTTCGCCAACTTATTATTATTATTATTTTGTATTACGTTTTGGAAAACTCGTCTCGACTTTCCTTAACTTCTAGTCCTCAGATTGTCATCAACCCAGCGCAGTCGATTCTGATAATCTTGTTATACTGAGCGATGACGAATCTGACGAAAAAAGCAGCAGTCCTGGGTCGCCGTCAAACACTCCAGCTGACTCCGAGCCCAACGGGTCACTTTCGAACAGCGGAAAAGGCAGTTTCGTTTACCACCCTCCGGGATCGAAAGATGGCATTCGCCTGACCGACGCTGACGTGGCTTGTCTTTTGCCTAACTGCTTCCTCAATGACACAATAATCAACTTTTACTTAAAGTACCTCTTCTACGAGCAGTTAACGACATTCCAGCGCCACGCTACGCACCTCTTCAATTGCTTTTTCTACTCTCGACTGTCGTCTATTCCTTCCGGCAGTACAGTCTCTGTCAGCGCTGGCGCGTCTGACAGCCAACAGGCTGAAAGGTGAGCTTATTTTCCCCGCATTCGTGTTGTGAAGTTTTGAGTGTAGTTCGCCAACTGTCATTACGTTGTCGTAAACTTTGACATTCTCCTGTGTCCATTTGTCAACACTGACATATCTGTGCCTCTTTTTTGATTCCCATTCTGGTGGGTTTTTTGCAGACCAAACGGTCTAGTGTTTGATTTGATTTAACGAAAATGAATGATGATGGCTAAATTGTGCGTTATGGTTTTTTGCAGCCTCCGCAAGGTACGACACGCTAACGTTGCGAATTGGACGAGGCGGGTTGATCTATTCTCAAAAGACTACATTATTATTCCGATCAATGAAAGGTAAGCATTAGCTGAAGACTGTGGCAAAGCAACTACATCGGTTTAGTGACTTTCTTCTTCACTTCTCCTTCTTTGCTTCATTTACAAGCTCACACTGGTTCCTGGGACTAGTCTGTTACCCCTGGATGACTGGCATGGTCAGTTACACCCAGTTATACGAGAATTTCGCCTTCGATCTCTGTCAGCTGACTCCCAAATTTGTCGACGTCGACCAACTACCTGTCAGCTCCGCTGATATTGGTCTGGAAGAACTCAAAGTTTTCCCCTCGGACAAAAAAGTACGTCACTCACCCGCTCGGTCATGTCTTTGGCACCTTTTTGTGCTCAATATTTCTGCTTTTGACCTGAAAACGCCTTTGGTTAAGTGTCTTTCCTTTTACTAAACTGCATCTCAAACTGATTGGCGATATCTAAGTGTTGTAGTTTGAGCCCTCGTTATCAACTAACATAGTGGGCCTTCCCTTCGTTAATTTATAAAAACGTCCTCAATGCATACTAGCAGAGCGTCACTTCAGTGCATTTAAAGTAGCAGGTGTAAAATGGTTGAAGTATTTATTTGTGTCTCGTCACCCTTGGCGAAAGCGCTTGTGTTTGCTTCTAAGCCCTTTTTCGCGCATTTTAAAGGGCGACGCATTCGATCGATGGAGGCGCAGGAGGCTTGCTTGGCTTCGCCGCCGCGGGATCAATGCCATGTGAGTCTCTCAGTCATCGCGCCTCGTCAGGGGTGTCGTGTCCCCGTGTATCACTTTGTTCATAGTCTTTTTTTTCTCAACGCAGGCCCTGTATCCTTCTCTTCGACTCAATTCCTTCCCACTCACGAGTTGGCAACCTCCACATAATCCGAAAGTGAGTTTGTGCTGCAAATTCTCCCTCGGCCTCCACGCATTACTTCTTCCACAATCAGTAGTTTTGTCCCCTTGCAGTTACCTCCAGGCTGAGTGGGACGCGCGACGGAGTGAACGAGACGGCGTCTTGACCTTCAACAAGGACACCATCCGCGGCTTCAGCCCAAAAGTCCCGGCTCAGAGCAACCTCGTCGACTGCGGCATTTTCCTCCTGCACTACGTTGAAATGTTCTTCAAGGTAAGCGTAGAACTCCTTCCCTCCTTCACAATCGATATATTTGTCCGGTCAATGCCCCCCGTTTTGTCTTGATCCAGAAACCCGTGAAGAGCTATACAAAAGTCTACTTCCAGAATGAGATGTGCAGTTGGTTCGAGAGTGAGATGCTGGGCCAGAAGCGGTCGGTAATTTCCAAACTCATCGAACAGATTTCGCGTCGGACCTCCGCTAGGCACTAAACCTTACCCGTTCTTCTTCCCCTCCTCTAACCCCCCCCCTTCCCCACCACCGTTTGTGTGAACCCTCGCCACCTTACGCAGTCCAGTAACCCTGTTTGTAAATAGATCCTAACATTTCGACCCCGCCGCACTCCTCACCACCTCGGTGACCGCCCTGTCTACTTTTGATGGTCTTCTCGTTGGATAATAACCACTCAGTATTCCTTCTGCTGACCTTGTAATATTCTACTGATCGACGTTTCAACACACGAACACGAAGGAGACCAATAAACTGCATGAACTAGGCATTGTTGCTTGATTTTACTCCGGGTTTGCCGTGCGGGATTTCTCGTTCCACGGACACCACTTGGCGCTCGTAGCAGTGAATGGCATCACGAATTATGGCAGGTGAATGCCAAGAAGTGTGGTGTGAAGGCCGATCTGCTTGAGACGGCGTCCCTGGCATTTAGGTAAAACCTAGGCTTAATTTCAATAATTGTCGCCCAAGTGGCTTCTTCACAGCGGCACAGCATCTTTTTGGAACGTGCAGTAGAATTTAAGTCTCCCTTTAGTCAATTTTTTTTTTTGGTTTGCATAGCCACCTCAGAAAAACCGATGACTCATGCTTCGAAATGCTATCGCATACTGTCTAAACAAGGCGATCCAGCGATTAAAACACACAAGAACAACCCAAGGGAAGTCGCTCATCCGAGGTTAAATTTGCGCTTTTGTGTGTCAAGTACATGAAATAAGGTACATTAGGAGCAAGCCTTTTTGGGTGATGAAGATCAAGCAAATGTGGTAGTGCTTTGAGCACCAAAAAAGCCGCAAAATCGATTTCTTCAGCAAAAGCGAAACACCTGTCTCTTTGACGGCGCTTCTTTTTTCTCATATTGCGTGGGAATATACTCCGATAAGCGTCTGATTGCTTAAACTCATGGAAAGTGCTTTGACTGGGACAGGGAATTGGTCAGTTTTGCGTGAGAATAAACCCAACTCCCGTAACGTGAACCTCTGACTCACTTCGCTAATTCGACCAATCACGTGATTGGTGCTCACAATGCATGTTTTTTCTTGAAGCGGCCAGACGGCCAGCAACACTCAAATGCGTTAAGCGGAGTGAGGTGTGTATTGTTTAATCCAGTGACGATGACCAATCAGAAGCCGATTTTTAAGGAATAGATTTTGCGCGGTTACGGCCAGTGGGCTAGGGGTCCTAAGCCGTCCACATTGTTGAAGTGAGGAGAGTAGACGATTTCCTCATTAGTGGCATTTTAGCACAATGCTTCACTGTATTTTGAACCAATTCAACTCTGAAACACTACAGGGCTACTTGATGAAGTACCGTTGCCTGTAAATGTTTCGCCTAACATTGCAACTGCATGATTCGATTATTGCCGCTGGGGAGGCTGCTTCGAATAGAATGCAGGCAAATATTGCAGAAATGGACAGAGCGAGATTTGCGATTCGCCGCATAATTTTGGTAACACGTTAACTGAAGACGCACAAGCAGAAGTGAAAATTACGAACCAGTGCAGAATGTTCGTAACCATAGATCTCTAATTGCGGACACTTGAGTTGTCTTAGGAATGTGTAAGCGCAGAGTGGAGATCTAGAGTACTTTCACGAACGCAAACGAGATTTTGCCATGTAGAGGAGGGTTTAGCAGTACATTCTTGTAAATTCCCAACTCGCAATCAACGTTTTTACGAAGGGGAATTAAAACCACTTTTTAACCACCATAAGCAGGGTATTAATTTTATATATGTTGATTTAATGTCACACATAGATATAGAGAGATTTGTGACTAGAACTGGCTACTTAAGCAAATAACGCAACTAGGTAAAACACTAACAAAAAGTCATATTTTTAGAAATTGTGCATACTTAAAACATTCAACAAGATAAAACATAAATTAAGACTTGAACAAGGAAAAATGATGCTGGCATAAATGATTTGAAAATTTCACAAACGAAGGGCACCAAAAAATTCCTCACTTTCGTCATACCTTAAACAAAATCATCGTTCAATCCGCTAAGTTTGAATTTCGGTAAAAAATTTGGATTTTACTTTTACGTTTTCAGTGTTGAAAACTGTAATTTCAACACACTTTTTAAAACATAAAAATTGCATTCAAAATTTCCTTGCATCGCGAAATGCATAGGCTTTAATTTATCAAACCAGATTCCATTAACAAATGCAATAAAAACCATTGTTAAATTTGCCATTATGCTGCTGATTCAGCGTACGAAATATAATTAAAAGCAGGAATTATTAGAGGAAATATGGATGGAAATTCTTTCGTGTTCAAAAGAATCAGAATGGTCTCGTGATATTGTAAATTACTCTGTCGATTTTTGAACCCTAGAAAAATTATCTTTGGTGTTTGACTGCTTTCAAACTAATTACACATATTAAAATAATAATGTGTCTCCTGGTAGCCACAAATTTACTGGCTTGTTTTGTCTTTTTGGGTCAGATTGTGTGAATGTTATGGGAAAAACAAACAAGGTTATCAAAATTTTTGGATTGTCTTAAAAATGTATTTAAAATGATAATTTTTAGTCATTTTAAGTGTTACATTTAAATAATTATTTCTTAGAATTAATAAGACTTATGTGATAATGTATTGTTCCTAGGCATTAATGCAAAATCAGAAGGAATTAAGAAAAATAAGTTAGCGATTTTTACGTATGTTTGGTTGCATACATTGCAAAACTCTTGCAAATATCAGATTGGCAGACAAAGTGTATCTTTTAGATTTTATGCCTGAAATAAGCCAAAGCGATTCACTTTTAAATCTAAATGTTTTTAGTCTCGAGAATTACACTATCTTGAGTTCTTTGCATGATTTAGTTTTAAAGCCTCATATTTCTTCATGAGTGCTGGTTTTAAGGCAATCTCAATGTCAAGAACAAATACGTAAGCATAAATTAATAAAACATTTGCTTGTTTTTTTTAAATCTTTGTGTTTCTAATGCCATTTTCGACTTGTGGTTCTTTAGGTCATTGAGTTATTATTTCATATTGCTCAACCACTCATTTTAAGTTATAATGCTGCCTTGAGTAAAGTACTTTAAATCTATGCAGTACCAACACTTATTATTACATAAAAATAGCCGAGATTTTACCTGCACTCTCGGTCACAAACTAACTTTATCTAACATAAACCTGATTATGAAGCAAAAATGTTTCTAATCTTCGTGCTTTGATTGGCCCCGCTTAACTCATGGTAACGTATGCCCGTTTCTCTTCTTTAACTGGGAAACTTTTACAGGATGGATAATTTATAATATTTTTTGCGGTAGTAACAAACAAAAAATTTTCACTTATCATTTAGTAAGATTATTTAAAACTTGGACAACGGATTGATAATACACACTGACACGTTTTTCGAGCACTGTGGTCTAGCATACTGTAAAACTTAGACGAACTAAAAAAGCCGCATTTGAACAGGTAAAATAAAAAGATGACTATAACTCTCACACCCCAGAAGCTCTACCACGTAATTTAAGCAAACATATCGATCACCTTTGACGGTCGTCGCAATATTTCTTAACTGTGCTGAATTTTGAAAGAAATTCAGAAACAATTAGTATCTTTAATTATAAAGCCTATTCATGGAATAATTCTATTTATATCCATCTCACGTTCTAATTATATTGGTAGCAAGCTTTTAGACTTTGACGCTTAAGACGTTCTCTTATTAAATATGGTCTTTTTAGTGATAGCTGAGTGTTATCTTTTGGTACACAACTGAACTGGCCTTCAAATTGGTACGTATTTAAACGTGAATTTATTAGGTTTATAGGTAAATAAGTTTACGTCATTTTTATTTTCCTTTTATTGTTTGCAAAAGCAACCACAGTAGCGTTAATAAATACAAAAAACTAATGGTAAATTATTTAATTGAAATAATTTTTTGTGCATGAATATTTTGCAACATAAGTTGTGCACAGAAAAATAAGCAGCAAATTTTTGAATGTTAGGAATTCTAAATAGAGAGTGGAATTTCTGTTTAACCCAATTATTTTAATAATCTTACTTTGTTTAATGTGATGATTAGGAATAAATGTTTGACCTAAATCTACAGAGCGTACTTTGACGTGTGTGAGTCATTTACGGAAGGGTGGTGTCGGGGACATTTCACCCTGTCTTTTATCGGACAAGTGTGTGAATTCATCATGTCTGAAATCCCATTTGTGACAGTCCATCAACTGGCCTCGTGGATATGTCAGAAGGATAAGGTAGGACATGTTTTTCTTCTTAATTTTTCTCAATAGGTTGCCATTTTAGACATCCGCTCCTTCAGGGAGTATCACACAAGCCACATTTGTGCTTCTTTGAACGTTGGTGGCAATCGTGCATTCAAGCGGAGGCTTCTGGCCAATCCCGTATTTTTGAATCCCAGTCTAACTATGTCTTTCTAGCACGTATTAGGCAAATTTCTATCATTGGTCGTCGGTGTCTCGCTGGAAAAATTACAATCGTTTGAGAAAATAGTCCTATATGACCAATGCTCGGCAGAACAACCAGCTGCTTACTCTGATGATTTCACTCATTTTATTATCTCACGGACGAATGACTTATTTTCAAATACTGTTTTACTTGAAGGTAAACGCATCTTCAATGTCGTCCGACCTTTTTCATGCTCATGATTTTGGTTGATTCCTTTATTTATGTTGGCCAGCCCATAATTTGCATGTTCGCCTTAATTAATCTTATTGTACGTTTGATATAATGCATAATCTCGGTTCAACAATGAAAAGTCCAAATTTCATTGAAAGAATGGCACACAATCGCATCTTGAGCCCTGCACAGTTATTATTTCTTGCCTTTAAATTTAGGTGGTTTTCTGGGATTCCGAGCGGCTTACCCACAACTGTGTTGGCAGCATCCAGAGAAACTTCCTGACGAAGAATTTGTTGGTGTGAAGGGAGACTCGGGGCTGGAAAACTTGCTTGATGAGTGCCTGTCGAAGGTGGTGGTTGACAGCGACACTTCTGTTTCCTCTGGTCAGTGTTCAAGTGCCCCAACCCGCCTTCCCTCGTCCAGTTCTTCTTGCGCTTCTTCTTCATTCCGACATAGCAGCGATTCTGGCATCGCTATTGTCTCGGAAATCCTCTCAGATGTCGTTCCTGTCGTTACCAGGTAAGCTCAATCCGTAGAAGCCTTTGCGACAAACCTATTCATTCCAACTTGTTCTCCTATGGCGTTTGCATGCCAAAGTTCTAGCTAATCATGCGCTACTTTCGCTAAGCTTCCTGATACCCGGAATCAGCTAACTTACACGTTGCTGATCCTCTTACTTGATTCCCGCAAAGCTGTTCTTGGTAGTTGGTTGCTTAGAGGCGCGTCGATGAATCATCGTTTGTCAATCCTTCTGTGCAAATTAGAACAACCGCTCTTGTCGCGTCAGTACGTTTGTTATGTGTGTAAATGTGTGCATAACCTAGACGTGGCTGTTCAATTTCATTGCGAAAGCACGTTGTTTTTTGCTACATGTACCCCTCTAACACTAGCTTTGCATTTGATCAGTTTATTAAGCTGTGTGTAGCTAAAATCAGGCTTGGCCAATGTTCCTCTACTCTTGGCTTGCAAGCTGGTCGCTGTTCCCGCCACCAGTGGTCACACTATCTCAGTCATCATCACCACCTGTTCAAACTCAGCGCAATCGCCACTTAGTGCGCATTTACTGACCACTTGAAATCACCTCCACAATGTGACTGCACTTTAAGGCGTGCCGCTGAACGACGTCGCCTACACAATCGGATGCAGCTTTTCACGGCTTGTGACTGTCTCTGTGTCTCTTTTTCCGCAATGGCCTACTTTAGACCTCACCAACGTGTGTTATAGTGTGTTTACGTGCGTGCGTGCGTGCGTGCGTTGTGGCGGTACCGTGTGCACTTTGTGCAGGCGATGCCGCTGACGCCAAGCAACAGGTCACTCAATCGGCACAGGCGTCCAGGCTAGGGGGAGAAAGCAACCGGCCCTGTTGTGACTCACCGCTGTGCGGTGTGACGAACAGCTGATTCACACTAGGTAGTAGTTGTGTGCACACACATACACACGCGCGTCGTGTTTTTTGGTGGGGTGTGGCTTTTTCATGCGCGTGGCACACACACTACTTATTTGCTCTACTGCCAGCCCCTGTTTATGCGTGTGTGTGTGTGTGTTCGTGTGCTTTTCACAACATTTACGCACACGTACAACTAGTCTGGCGTGTCTGTGTGAGTCAGCTCTTGCCGCTGAGCTTGTCAGCACCTTCGTGGGACTGAATTCAGTTCCCCAAAATCCCCACCCACAGCTATTCTCATTGGTTCACGTGGTGCCGTTCGTGATTCGTTGATTCGTGTGTTGTAGAACGCCAGTTTCCCGGGTGACCTCGGCACCAATAACCCGCCCCACCATGCTCATAGCGTCACTCTCCTTCGACGACGTAATGAGCAGCTCCTCGCGCCGGCCTTCTCGCCTGCGTCCCAGCACCCTGTCCCTCTCCTACTCCCCCTCCTCCTCCTCCACCGCAGCAACCGACTCCACCTTACATGTGCACGCGCCAAAGGCGGCTCCGACGCGTTCCCGGACCTTCGACGCCTCCTCACACTCGCATTTTGCCTCCTCCTATCGACTGCTGTGTCCCCAGTCCACCCTCCCAGTCACCCCGCCACCCCCACGACCGCTTTCCACGGTCAGCGCGGCCCTGAGTGCAGAGGCCTTCGAATCACCGCTCCCTACCTCCGTCCTGCCGCACCTCCTGCTCGGTTGTCAAGCCGACGCCATGTCCGCGGACATCTGTGCGGAGTACGGCATCACGCATGTGATCAACGTCTCCGCCGACGGTGAGGCCTCACCCCACGTACCGGCCGCGCGGTTTCTACGCATTCCAATTCACGACAATGGCAAAGCGGATATCGTGCCCTTCTTCACAGAGGCCTTCGACTTCCTCGGTGAGTCTCCACGCCGATTTCAACAACTGTTCTGCCGAGAAGACCAAGTGACGCACAAGAAGCTTATCGTTTAGAATACTGCGTACGCGCACACACTCATGTGTGTATCCACGTGCGTGCGTGTGTGTGTGTGCTAGGTTATCATCATCTTTTTGTTTACGTGTCATGTGAAACCGGTTTGTGGGAGTATTTGACGCCTACCAAAGGGTTGCTTGGTTCTCTTCCATCTGCCTTTTTAAGCGTCATGAACACGCTGTTGATGTGCTTCAGTCGATGGTTCGGTAGGTATTTACCAAGATATCCGTTTTCAGGCATCTTCTAGCTTGTTGCAGACGTTTGATTGGTCCTACCTCCCAGAACTCCTCGCCAACACACGTGCGCGCACACATTTATTGTCGTCTAGGCACTGCGGCAGCGTAGCTATTAATAAACGGCCATCTTTAGTCCCATCCGCGCGATACACACACACACACACACGTAGCAAGGTGTGGAATTTGCGCAAATGCAGTCTGTCGGTGTGATTGGGTCGCGTGAGTTTATAGTTCATCTGATTGGACGAATTTGGAGGTCGTCTTGGGGCGATCGGACCGCCTCACCTTCGGTTAACTCGTATTCGTCACTCATTGGTCTATATTCACCAATGGGCGTCAAGGAGGAACGTGGTTGTCATTGGTGATCCCACACCCTTCTCTTGATTAGGTCTGATGCTCTCTTAAGTTGAGGTGAACCATCGCGCCACCACCGCCAACGACCTCTTCATAGTGTGCACATGCGCTAGCAAATTCCACATATTTGCCGATTGACAAATACTCAATATTCGCCACACCTGTGTGCTATCTCTCTCATTCTCTGTGAATTGTGCCAACTTGTCAGCGTTGTGTTAATGTGCTCTTGCACACGTCGTGTTCGTCGCTGTTGAACGGCCCTTCCGTGTCCATTAGAGGACTGAGGTGTGCATGATTACGAATGTCAGGTACCGCACAGTGTCCCCTCGGCTTTGTCGACTCGTGTCTAGAGTCTACGCGCACCAGTTTGGACGTGCGAAGTCGTGGCCGGGTTGGCCGGCACGTGCGCGCGTTTACGCATTTTTACACACACCCACCCAGCGCACCCAAGCGTCGTCCACGTTGCGTATTTTCGGGAGCGCTCTCTGTTGCCGATGATTAATCATCTGTCTTTCGCTCGCTCGCTCCCGCTCTCTCCCTCTCTCGTGTCAGTGGGATCGCTAGCTCCGCTCGTGCCTGCGTCACAGTAGCGCGCGTAATGCCTTGGCAACAAGCCATGGGTTGCCACTACCAACATCACGCGCGCACACCCAATGTCCCTCCGCCAACTCCTTGCCTACACCGGACAGAAAATCCGGCCATTTTGCTGGCAAATTGTTGGCTCAGGGGGTCACGAATGGGTCTGACACCTTCTGACTCCTCTTTTTTTCTCCAAATCTAGACTTGGCGAAGCTGTCAGGCGGTCGGGTGCTTGTGCACTGCTTCGCCGGCATCTCCAGATCACCCACACTCGCTATCGCCTACCTAATGAAAACGGAGCACATTTCCTTTGACGAGGCCTACAAGTAAGATTGAGATTCCACAGATAGACGGTCCTAGCGTGAATTTATGGCTAAAATCTGCTTCTTCTCATTTAGCCGAGTGAAGGCCATCCGACCTAAGATCTCGCCCAACTTCAACTTCATCGGCCAACTGACTGACTTTCAGAAACAGCTTGGTGTCCGCTCGCGCACGGCTTCGCCGTCGTCACCGCCGCCGGCTGCGTCTAAGCCGACCACGTCGTCGCGCCTCGCGCTATCGTCGTCTTGCTCGCAGTCTCTGCCGAAGATTGTGCCCGTCGAGGCCTCCCCTACCACGGGTTAGTTGAGCTCTTATTCAATCACGCCTTAGCGACAACAGCAAAACACGGGAAACAAGGTGTGGTGCGTTGGCGACGCCCTTATCTCCATGGGTTCCGGTCGTGTTTGGGCGTTTTCGTTGCGTGTTTGTGATTTCGTCTCTAGCGGACCAATCAACAGTTTGAGGTCTTATACTGTTTTCCCTCACACGCACTTGAAGTGAACCAATGTGTGCGTTAGTCATGCCTGTTGAATGTGGGGTCTGACGGTTGGATGGGATTTGCTTACCTCGGTGTGCGTGTGTGTTTTAGAAGTTCCCTCAAATGTCGCGCCTCCCCACATCTCGTCACCGGTGGTTGCCGCCATCGCTGGAGCGTCCGCGAAGACGACAGCGATTTCCAGCCCCTTGCGTCCTGTCAACACGCTGGTTCGTCGACCAACTCTGAAAGTGGATTACACCGTGCCGGTGGTAATCGGCGCTTCAAAGAAGCGCGATCGTCCACAATACCTCTCTCTTCATCCCTCGTCTCCCTCGGACCAATCGACTTCCACCGACGCCGCAGCCATCGTCGTGGGCCGACGCAAACGCAGTCGCTTTGGCCCGCTCCTTTTGCCATCACCGTCTACCGCCATCGCAAGCCTGGATCTCTCCTCGCCATGCGAGGAATGGCGAATCGCCACCCTCAAGTCCGCCTCCCCGCCGCCACCTCCACCGTCTCCGCGCCCACGACGACTGCGAATCTCCCGCGCGGTCGATGAGACGCGTCGATTCTCGCTCTCCGCCTACACCGAGGTGCAAAAGTGTGCATTTTCACCCCTGAACCAGTACGACGCGCCATCCAGCGACATCGACAGCGACGTCGACTTGGTTGGCAGCGTCGGCGTTGGTGGAGGCGGCGGCGGCGGCGGCAGCAGCAGCAGCAGCGCCTCCTTCTCAGCCTCCAACCCCACCATAATCGGCAGCTGTGGTGGTGGTGGCGGTAGCCTTCATAGTCCCACCTCGGCGTCTCACCGATGGCTCGCCGGTGACTCTTGTCGTCACCAACAAGCCACGGCCGAATCCTCGTGCCATTCCAGTCTTTCGTCTTCAAGCAATGGACAACACACTCCTAGTTTTCCCATCTCTTAGTCTGCAGCCTTTTCAAACTCCCCCACATCCCACCGAACAATCTCTAGTCACGATTATCTAACATCTCTACTCCACCGTATATAGCATTTATGTGTATAATTTTCAATATATATATGTCTGTGTTTAACATCTGATGGCACCTTGTATAAAATTGTGTATGTGTGTGTGTCCCTCTCCATTTTTTAAACAAAGAATTATTTGCCAAATTGGTCGCGTTGTGCTCGCGATAAGTGGTAAATCAACAAAATTTTATGCAAAGCTTAGGTTAGTTGACGAAACTAGATAAACAAGTACTTTACCTGGAGGTACCATCGGCTCTTTAGGTGGGGCGAGTCTCCAATTTGGTCTCGATATGTTTTAGCCTTTCATTTCTACCGATTTCGGTTCTTTCTGACAAATAATGGAACATTTTCCCTATCTGCAACGCAATCATATTTTTCCACAAGATCCATGTATTCGGACGCCAAGAATGGTTGACCCAGAGTCAAAAAAATCGTTGATTTTAAACGAAACTCAAGTCAATTGGTCGATAGTGTTCGACGTTTGTGGCCAATGGGAGGCGTCCCTGAAAATCGATCGCCAATATGGGGAATTGCTACGAAAACTGGTGATGCGGTGGTCCTTAAAATAACAGTTTATTTCGTGGCTCTATTTCGGCGGATTTAACAAATTCTCATCCACACAATAACTTTTAATTCTGCAATTCTATGGAGAAGTAATCGGTATTTTTGTCACGCCTCCATTGACCCGGCTTTGGGTGTATCTAAGTCGGGCTGTTAGGATAACGAAATTACGAGAATTATGCCATGACCATGCTAATTGACAAATTTAGCTTCTGATGTAATGTCAGCCACAAAAACAGTGTTGCAAAAAGCGAAGATTGAGGCACTACGTCATTCACACGTCTTCATGCGTCATGTAAATGCTTTTCTGTGTAATCAGCATTCCAAATGGGTAAATAATCACGCTGACAACCCTTCCGTTAGATTACTGTTTTTTTTTAAAATTGTGTCAAATTCTCGATCTAAGCACGACTAAGGAATGGAGTTTCTGCTAACCAATCATATTTTTTGAATGCAAATTTCATTACTCTGTTAACCCATCATGTCAATAATCCAACTTTGAAGACAGTAATGCATGTGTTTTCGATGTTTTTAAGGTTCTTGCACAAGAAGCAACGCGTTGACAGAACTGTTGAGTTAGCGAATTTCGGTTTTAAAACGGACAGCAGACTTTGTTTAAACTAATGCTGTGTTTATATGACTACCGTGCAGAAACATGTCATGTCTACTTGATTCTGCTGGTGACGCAGTTCGTCCGGGGCATAGATTATTTGCAAATTAGGGTCCACTACCTTTGCAACTCATAACAATTTCTCTTTTTGAAACCGTATTTCCCAATTTCCCTTAACACTCGAATCATGAGCCAAGCGAATTACTTTCTTTATCTCATGTGGCACCACATTTTATCAAAATCTACGTTTGTATATGAAATCAACATTTAGCCATAACCAAAAGGAAGGCTAACGGCAGTAACTGAATCTTTGCAATTAAAATTCTACATAACTGGTTTCTGAAATAAAGAGGTTTTCTGGGGAAAAATTGTATTTCTTTAAGCTACAGATGGGGCGTTACGGAGTAAGTGATTCTTTCACAAATGCCACGCGTTCAGGACATCACAAATCTAAATTGCCCTGAAATGAATCCGCCACACCTCGTTCACCTGCAACCGTTTCGTTTGGAGGTTAATCACGTGTTCCCTCGCACGCACGCATGCACGCACGCACACACACACATGGACCCTGGACAATTAGCTTTTTATTTTGCAATTAAATGACAGTTGCTAACTCCGATGCACTTAACAGAAGTCCAAGTTAGTGCGCATGTTGTGTGATGAAAGCAAAAAGAAATCGATAAACTTACAAGCTCGCGCTTGGAGCAATTAATGCGTCATAGCGAATTTAAACAAAGGCCTAGCTGATTAGTAATAACCCGCAAAATACCATGTCTCACGCTGTTCACAATCCAACTGTGATTGATAAATGATCCCTCGACTTTTTTTATTATCGCTTAATCATATGGGCTTGGCGGTATGTGCGTAGACCGATAAATTCCGTGATGACAACATCACGCGTAAAGCTAGATTAATGAGTTGGTAACACGGCTGGTTGGAAACCACCCAATTAGAAAATCGCGTCACCATTTAAAGCTATCGCTGACTGCCATACCAGGTAATTCTCTTAGTATATAAAAATTTCCGCGTAGATAATCTGGTCATAAAATTAAATTATCAGCTCGTGGATCGCTGTCTAGGAAGTAGCATCAAACTAACACCTGTTCTTTACTGAAGTAGGCTTCTTTATTTCCAATTTTGTGCCTGTTTCCGCCAAACACTTTGAAGTTGAATCACCCGATGGAGAACGTTTGTGAGCCGTTTAAACATCGATCACCAATGTGCGCGTGATTCCAGAGATGTGCCACGAGGTATTGATGATGATGCACACTTAAACCAGGTGTAGAGGTCAAAAAAAGTACACCTCACTGCAACTGACGGTATGGCATGAGGTAAATTGCCTAGGCGACCCATCCAAACACTTTGAAAAGTTAATTTGTCGGTCACACTACAGACCAGTAACACATGACTGCTAGACTCATTTTGTGTTCGTAATAGTAAAATTTAAAATGCTCGTATTTCAGCTATGTTAGCAGAACGTCACGTGATACTACTTGATCCAGTTACCCACAAAACAGCTGGACTTTAGACTTCAAAATTCGGTAAACGTTAGCGACATGATTTCGCATTTCTCATTAATCGCAATGCTCTTCATGGGATGTGTAGTAAAATCCATTTCAGTTGAATGCAGTGACTGTTACATTTTGTGCAACTTCGATCATTAACATCATCTAATGGGATTTACAACCTCCCAATCAATCTCCGATGCCTTTTTAAATGTTCGTGAGCCTGAACTGTCTTCGTGTATTTCTGCTGCCTTGTGATTGGCTGATTCTGACCTCTTCAATTGCTTCGTGATTAATTTTCATTGGTTCTTAATAGCAATCTGAATTAATTGTTTGAATCGATCGGGGTCACCAGTTTGTTGTTAGAAGGCACGGCACGAAGAACCTAACTAGACGTTTCAAGTAAGTTGCGTCGTCGTCGTGTGCTTGTGTGTGTTCTTAAGGTCGTGAATGACTCGTGCAGCTGGTGACCAATAAGGTTTGGGGGAACGTGCAGAACTACCAATGGCTGAATGGCCAGATTGGAGGGGGAAGATACGTGCACAGAGGTATATGAATAGACGATTCGGAATCACTACAACTCCTTGTAGATAATGTGTTCTTTATCATGAGTAATTTGTCACTTTCAGACTAAAATAATTTCATTTCGTTTGAGGTGTACATCATAAAGGCCTATTATCTGTGTTAATTGACCTTTTTAACACGTCGGACATTCCAACGATTTCCAATTGCTGTGTGGATGTGTGTGCTTCATCAAACCACGACAACGATCCAATGTAATCGCGACTTTCTCTAGGTCTTTACTACTAACCAAATTATGTCGACCAGAAGCACATTGGTCAACTTTAAGTGAAATAGCGCGGAAAGGAATGTAAATTTTTATTCCGACACATGAAATTGGTTAATCCATCATGACGACCACATTGACATCAATCATTGTAAACATTGGTTGCCTCCTTGCCTACACGGAAAACGGAAAATTGACATGTGTCTGATGTAGACCGTAAGGCAGCACATGACGGCAAGAACGGTGACGAAATGGGTTTTGCGTTATTCCTGTTTGTGGAAGCCGAAATTACTTTCATGGCAAAGATTTTGACGCCAGTAGAACAAAGTAAACGGGCATTGCTGTTAATCAGTACCAGATTAAATTCAGCATCCGTTGTTGTTGTGCTGCACTTTACGAGGTATGCCGTTGTCAGATGTGACGGACCACTAAAACGAAGTAAATATTGAAGCCCAAACGCGCGTTTTTAACACGTACCTGCAATTAGTGAACCCAATCTGCATAACTCACATAAATAATATGCACACCTTTCCGAGTTTGGGATGTACTTTTCGATTCACATAAATACAATAAAAACCGCGCGAGTGATTCAAATTCTAAAGCAAGAGTCCTGGTATTCACACTAGCTGTGTGTTGAGTGATACGAGCAAGCTGACCAATCAGCAGCCGAATGAACCTGTCCCACGGCACAGCCAATCACGCTCCACTTTGGGATGACTTGGCGGCTAGACGTCTGCTTTAAGTGTGGCTCATTTCGGCAGTCATGTGCAATGTGGTTTCATTAAAAACTCACGCTTTCTGAATTCACGATCTACACGTAGGACATTCGCAAGACAGTTTACCTGTGATTGCAAGAATCTGCTTAGTTCTCATGCGTTGAATACCTTTACCCTGACTAATTTAACCTGCATTCATAAGTCAGCAATTTGCACCTTTGACCTTGTGCGCGTAGAGGCGTTGCCAACAGCACAGAATACCGTAATCCGCGGTGAATAATTTAAACTGGAAAACCACACAAACACACAATTACGAACAGCACATGAATGAAATCCACCAATCGTGGATAGCGGTTCTGATAACTTTTCAAGTCGTCATTTTCTCGATTCCGTTTTACCAATAATCAATAAATTGCACGCGTTGGCAGCATTTCAGTCTGGATACATGTACACTATACAGCACTTTCATTTTGACCAATCAATTGCATTATCACTTGGTTTTTAACCAATCACATGTCTCAACGACAAAATGTCGAAAATTCACAAGATTTACTAGATTCATTAATTCAAACTTGTAAAAGCATAAGTTACTGTCACTCTAAGTTTTAAAATTTTAACTAAAATTGCCTCTAATTAATAATAGGCTCGACTTAGGCCTCAATTGTTAGAGGATGATCATAATTGGTTAATTATATTGCATTTAAATGAAAGCGATTGGCAAGAATATATTTCGACCTGAAATTCAACAAATTACATTGA